GCACCTACGGAGGTGCCGGGCCAACCCGGCGGGAGACGAGTCCACAGAGGGGGCTGAGACAGCTCCTGCGACGACTACGACTGCTGCGATGGCTGCTGCGGCTGCTGGGGCGACGGCTGCTGCTCCTGACTAACTGCGGCAGTCCCCTCAGTAGAACCACTGTCCCCGGCACCACCACCACCACCAGCTCCACCACCACGCCCTCTGGCGGCCACGGCCAGCGCGGCGCGGGCGCTGCTGCGGGTGGACCGCAGCTGCAGTCTCGGTCAGAGGGGTCGCAGTGGCGACCGCAGCCGAAACAGAAGTAAATGTGCACTGGGAGGGGGCACAGCCGTGAAAGATAGAGACTGCCGGCGCACCGCTCGACTGAGCGATTGTGCGCTGGCGAGTCTCGATCTCGGTAAGGGCGGTGACAAAGGCTGTCAGGGTGAGATCACCAGGGTGCTGGCTAAGGATGTGGTCGCGTGCACTAGCAAGGCGGTCAGGCAGGCGCATAGCGATAAAGTAGAGAGTCATACAGAAGGGGGGGGGGAAGCGAAGTGAGCTGGGCAGCAGTGCTAGCAGTGCGGTAGCGAGACTCTAGGGCTCGCAGATGAGTGGCAAGGTCAGCAACAGTAGGGAAGGAAGCAAGGTCTGGGAAAAGCATAGGGAAGAGCAAGCGGCCGGCAGTAGCGGAGGTAGGCGTGGAATAGCGAGCAACAACAGCATCTAAGTAAGCCTTGGCTGTATCAACTGTAGCGAAACGCAAACGCTCAGACACAGGGAGGGCGTGACTGATAGCGACCTGAGCAACTGCATCGCGAGAGTCCCAGACGGCACAAGCAAGTGCAGCAGCAGAGAAAGTCTCACGCTCAGCAGAGGTGGGATCAGCAGGGAGGGGAGCAGGCTCAGGGGGGCGGGGGAGCAAGCCATCAGCATGGATAACCAATGAGTGCCCATCCTGGCGCTGACCTGTGAGTTGACGGCGGAGGTCGGACAGCCAGGCGGCGAAGTCAACCGCGTGGCCCTCAGCGTCCAGGCGGAGGACGAAATCAGTCATCGTGCAGGGTCAGCGACACATGGACACAGCGGCACAGCTCCACATGGACACAGCGGCACAACTCCACATGATACTGCGGCACAGCTCCACAGGACACAGCAGCACAGCTCCAGGAGGACGTCTACAAGACGCTCCAGCGCGGGCAAGCAGACGTCACGGGGCCGGAGAGTCGAGGAATCGTGCCAAGCAGAAGACACGGGGCCGGGCAGGCGCTAGGAGGGGCCGGGCGGGCGCTACGAGCCGGGCGGGCGCTAGGGGCCGGGCGGGCGCTAGGGGCCATGCGGGCGCGACGGGGCCAGGCGGGCGCAACGGGGCCAGGCGGGCGCGACGGGGCGGGCGGGCGCTTAAGGGCCGGGCGGGCGCTACGGGCCGGGCGGGCGCTACGGGCAGGGTGGGCGCGAGGGCTAGGTAGGGGGGGGGGGGGGGGAGGGATAGGCTAGGGCGCGGGCGGAAGCGGGCGGGTGGACCTAACCTACTCGTGATACCATGTTAGAATGCAAGAATGATACCGTATTCTCCCGGATACAGGTGAACCCACTTCATGTTCCCGCTGCTTCGTTTAATGTTTCGTACACTAATCTGACCATTGTTAATGTTACACTGACGGAAACAATTGTCCGGATGTTTTGCATTAAATAGGTTTTTTCAGCTTTCCGACCTGTGTACATAAACTCTTAGTATTAAATGGTGGTACGCTTTGGGAGGGGCACATAGTGGATGTGTTCACACCGCTAAATTCCATAATAGTACACTGGATCTAACTTAGTGCCAAAAGATATACAAAGAGTACATCCGGACAATTACTTCCCAGGACAAAGAGCAAACTTCCGAGCAGCGTTTCTAGTACCTAGTCCACCAAGACTTGGCATTGATAACCACCTGCACCCTCCTAGGCATGATATCTACGAGGTTAGTGCAAACCTTTACAGGGATCTTCTCGCACTCTTCCTGGACCCACCCTTTAACATAAGGGGGTGAGCACAAGGAAAATCGCGAAGTATTTGAACGTAAGCAAGAGTACTGTGCACAATTTCATGTTGAATGTTATCTCTGAGACTAGCCATGCTGAGGTGTGGCCAAAGATGTCATAAGTCGATTAGTCCCATCTTATCATGAATTTTCTTCGTAGTACCATTGTTGGGTAAAATTACGAGCAGAGTGGCTAAAACTAGCGTGTCCGCCGCGAAACTTAGGGTAACATAGCACGGTCAACTGTGCACCCATTCACTAATAGAATTGCGTTAAAATCTACGGGTCTTGTCACGGTGCAGCAGTCGAAGAAGCCCCGACTGGTGAGGAAAAATATCCGGATTCAGGTCTGGTGAGGAAGAGGGTCACTCCAGTGCTACAAACTCATGCTCTCCAAGCCATTCCAAGCCTAGGCGGGACACATGGCTTAGAATGGCTTGGAGAACACGAGTATGTTATGCTGGAGTGACCCTTTTTCTCACCAGATCTCAACCCGGATATTCTTTCTGAACAGTCGCGACTTATTCGACTGCTGCACCGTGACAAGACCTACGGATCCTAGCGCGATTCTAATAGTGCAAGGATGCACTGTTGACCGTGCTATGTTACTCTAACTTTCGTGGCAGATACGCTAGTTTTCGCCACTCTGGTCGTAACTTTTACCTACAGCGGTACGATGAAGACGATCCATGATAAGACGAGACCAATCGACTTATGGCATCTTTGGCCACACCTCAGCGTGGCTAGTCTTAGAAATAACATTCAATCTGAAATCGTGCACCATACTCTTGCATACGCTCAAATCCTTGGCGATTTTCCTAGTGCTCACCCCCTTATGCAAAAGCGTGGGTCCAGGAAGAGTGCGAGAAGATCCCTACAAAGGTTTGCACTAACCTCGTAGATAACATTCATAGGAGAGTGCGGGTGGTGATCAAGGCCAAGTGTCGGTTGACTAGGTACTAGAAACGCTGCTCGGAAGTTTGCTCTTTGTCGTGGGAAACAATTGTCCGGATGTACTCTTTGCATATCTTTTGGCACTAAGTTAGATCCTGTGTACTATCATGGATTTTAGTGTTGTGAACACATCCACTATGTGCCCCTCTCAAAGCGTACCACCATTAAACCTTAAGAGTTTATGTACAGTGGTCGGAAAGCCCAAAAACCCTAATTAATGCAAAACATCCGGACAATTGTTTCTGTCACTGTATTCATCGCTTTCTAAACGCTGATTTGTTGCCGTTGACTGCCACCGCTCCCTCTGCAGGAAATCTGAAAAAACCCCCAGCGGAGCTCATTCTCAAATGGATTGCACGGTCATGGGCGGCAGTTCCGGAGGAGCTCATACGGAACTCGTTCAAGACCTGTGGGATCTCGAACGCGTTGGATGGCTCCGAGGACAGGTTGGCTCTCCGTCACCTCCGCGAGAAGCAGGGCGTGGAAGTCATGGACGACGTCCACGTTCAAGAGGGTGAGAGCGATTACGTGAACCCTCTGTATGACCGCACGATCGACGTCGACGAGGACTTCGCCGACGACGAGGAGCATGATGCCGTGGCGGCAGCAGAAGCCGATGGCGACATGGATGAAGCGGCAGCAGCAGCTCCAATAGCAGAGGATGCCGACCTCTCTACAGCAGAGGCAGAGACAGCAGCAGAAGCACAACGAGCCGAAGACAGTGTGGAGTGGCCGGCTGAAGGCATTGCTGAAGAGGATGATAACAGCCACTGGTGGGATGAGCTGGCAGATGGGAGTGATGTTGAGGAGTGGCATGCTGGCGACGATGAAGATGATGACGAGGACGACTAGAGCACGTGGCAGAGGCAGTAGCAGCATGAGCTAGAGTAGTGGTAGCTTGTGTTGTGGTCCCCTTATAGCTCTAGGACATCCAAGCAAACTTAGGTTGTTTAGCTAACCTCTAACTCCTGATTGTTAAGCAAAATTCACTGGAATGTAGTGCCCCGTTTCGGGGGGGGGGGGGGGGTGTTCAATTGTTTTCAACCCCAAAAGTAGGGTGGTAACTAGATCCAGTTTAATTAAACACCCATACCCGCTCAAGCCACCCATGGGAGCTTAATTCCGGCGGGTACTGTATCCGGGAGAATACGGTAACTAGTGTGAGAAACCTAGAACATATACATGTTGGGGTTGTACTCACTAGAAGCACACACATAGGCTAGCCTATAACTTCTACATACAGCATATGTATAAGTTGACAAAAGGATCTCCATGTGAGCTGAGGTCTGGCGAGGGATTTGTCGCATTATATCTCTCCATCATGTACAATGCAATGACCCTTGTATCTTTTGCAAATATTTTCAAAATGCAAATTTACAAGCTCAAATTAGCACGTTCATCTTGCAAATCCCTACATACTTGACTAACCGGGGGAAACCCGTCTGACCTTGGAATTTTGTTTGACGCCTTTCTCTTTGAAACCTTTCGTCTGCAAAGGTAGTACACGAGCACAGAAGAGGGTTGGGTAGAGGTGGCTAAGATTTCATTTATAAGATACAAAGCTTTCTGAATCCTTGTACTAATCAGAAAATTATGGAAGACCTACTAAGGGCGTGTCCAGCGCGTACGTTTGATTACGGTTGGGTGAGGTTCCTCACGGATCAGAAGGTTCGATAACAAATCTAAAACGGTTGGGTAGGGTTTTGACCAAAAACGTACGCGCTGGACACGCCCTAAGCTGAACTGACAGCATTGCCTCTCGTAGTCCAGCAAGGCACATCGATGCCACCTGTGGGTCGACCGGCGAATGGGAGCGGCTGGCGGTGCCCAAGGCGGGCAGATCAAGTGCCACAAATCTTGGACAAAATTCCATTTCGTGGCTGGAAGGAGGGGACCTGGGGAAAAGCTGTTTGCTGCCCGTGCGTGCTTCCTGAATCCTTCCCTCCAAATCTTTCCCGCCAATCCCCTCCCCCTCAGGCCCCATCACCCTCTGACAGCAAATATCGGCCTCTCGCCCGCAGCTGTCGACCACATCGGGATCGCTTCGCCAAGCACCTATGAAACCAAGCCTTGTGCTTCCGTAAACGTGATTTTCAGGCAACAGCTCTAACGACGTCTTTAGATCTTTCACCCTAAACCAGATCGTGAGTGTTCCCATAGATGGCCCCTAACGCCATGTCGCAACCGTCGCAACCCGCATCAGCCGGTGCTCCCGGGAAGACAGCGGGACCGTTCAAGCCGGATCTATCGAAGCCGTTGGTGTTCCAGGTGGGGCACCTGGGCGAGCGGTACGACGACTGGGTGCACCAGCCGATCATCAGCAAGACGGGCCCGCGGCTGTTCGGGCCGGACTGGATGGAGCTGTTCACGCAGACGCACTGGTGGATGATCCCGCTCGTCTGGCTGCCCGTCATCGCCTTCGCCGAGTACCGCGCTGCCCTCGCCGGCACACCCAAGGCGCTCGTGGCGCCGTTCTTCGCGGTGGGGCTGGTGGTGTGGACGCTGATGGAGTACAGCCTGCACCGATTCCTGTTCCACTACCGCACGACGGGGTACTGGACCAACACGCTGCACTACCTGCTGCACGGCTGCCACCACAAGCACCCGCAGGACCGCCTGCGCCTCGTCATGCCGCCCGTGCTCTTCGCCACGCTCTCCACGATCGTGGCCATCCCCTTCTTCCTCGTCTTCCCCGGGTTCCTCGTGTGGCCGGTGTACGCGGGGTCCATCTTCGGGTACATCTGCTACGACATGACGCACTACTTCGTGCACTTCGGCGTGCCCGTGGAGCTGGAGTGGATCTACTTCCTGCGACGCTACCACATGGCGCACCACTTCAAGGACTTCAACGCCGGCTTCGGCATCACCAACGCCTTCTGGGACAAGGTCTTCGGCACCTACCCCGCGGAAGAGCCCAAGAAGGGGGATGAGGTGGTCAAGGCGGATGGGTCGGTCAAGGCAATGTAACGTTGCCGGGCTGCAGTGCAGACTGCTTAGGGTTTCGGGACTGGAATAGAGAGCAGGGATTCGTTCCACGCCTAGGCCTAATGACTCCGCCTGTGAGTATATGGTTCAGATTAAGTGGGTAGGATGAACATAATGGATATCTCTAGGCTGTACAATACGCTTCGCTGCTTGTGTGTGGATGGCATGTCATGTCAGCCCTTGTTGATACGATGATTGCTAAACGTTTGAAGCGCGTAGGCTCCACACCCACCTCGTCTGAGGTTGCTTCTGTCCATGATTAGGGCGTGTCCAGCATGTACGTTTTTCGTCAAAACCCTACCCAACCGTTTCAGATTTGTTATCGATCCTTAGGATCCGTGAGGCACCTCACCCAACCGTAATCAAACGTACGCGCTGGACACACCCTTAGCCAAATTTTGGAAGCTGCACATTCAGGCCCCCCTAAGTCACTTCAGTTCAGAGTTTTTTGGGCTGCTGTGTCAACTTATACACATTATCTATGTAGAAGTTATAGGCTAGACTGAGGTATGCTTCTAGTGAGTACAACCAACTAGTATTTGTTCTAGGTTTCCACCTCTAGTCATTATTCTTTCTCACTTTGACATGGTATCACGCGTAGGTTAGCATCCCCCACCTACCGCTTCCGCCCGTACCCTAGCTAGGCCACGTCGCGCCTCCTAGCCACGTCGCCCCCCCCCCCCTCCTGGGCCACGTCGCGCCACCCTAGCCCCGTCGCGCCACCCTAGCCCCGTCGCGCCCCTCCTGGGCCCCGTCGCGCCACCCTAGCCCCGTCGCGCCCTGCCTGGCTCCGTCGCGCCCGCCTGGCCCCGTCACGCCCTGCCTGGCCCCGTCGCGCCCTGCCTGGCCCCGTCGCGCCCTGCCTGACCCCGTCGCGCCCGCTCGGCCCCGTCGCGCCCTGCCTGGCTCCGTCGCGCCCGCCTGGCCCCGTCGCGCCCTGCCTAGCCCCGTCGCGCCCTGCCTGGCCCCGTCGGGCCCGCTCGGCCCCGTCGCGCCTTGCCTGGCTCCGTCGCGCCCGCCTGGCCCCGTCGCGCCCTGCCTAGCCCCGTCGCGCCCTGCCTGGCTCCGTCGCGCCCGCCTGGCTTCGTCGCGCCCTGCCTAGCCCCGTCGCGCCCTGCCTGGCTCCGTCGCGCCCGCCTGGCCCCGTCGCGCCCTGGCTAGCCCCGTCGCGCCCTGCCTGGCCCCGTCACGCCTGCCTGGCCCCGCCACGCCTCCCTGGCCCTGCCGCGCCTGCCTGGCCCCGCCGCGCCTGCCTGGCCCCGTCGCGCCCTGCCTGGCCCCGTCGCGCCTGCCTGGCCCTGTCGCGCCCTGCCTGGCTCCGTCGCGCCCGCCTGGCCCCGTCGCGCCCTGCCTAGCCCCGTCGCGCCCTGCCTGGCCCCGTCACGCCTGCCTGGCCCCGCCGCGCCTCCCTGGCCCTGCCGCGCCTGCCTGGCCCCGCCGCGCCTGCCTGGCCCCGTCGCGCCCTGCCTGGCCCCGTCGCGCCTGCCTGGCCCTGTCGCGCCCTGCCTGGCTCCGTCGCGCCCGCCTGGCCCCGTCGCGCCCTGCCTAGCCCCGTCGCGCCCTGCCTGGCCCCGTCACGCCTGCCTGGCCCCGCCGCGCCTCCCTGGCCCTGCCGCGCCTGCCTGGCCCCGCCGCGCCTGCCTGGCCCCGTCGCGCCCTGCCTGGCCCCGTCGCGCCTGCCTGGCCCCGTCGCCCCTGCCTGGCCCCGCCGCACCTGCCTGGCCCTGCCGCGCCTGCCTGGCCCCCGCCGCGCCTCCCTGGCCCCGCCGCGCCTGCCTGGCCCCGCCGCGCCTCCCTGGCCCCGCCGCGCCTGCCTGGCCCCGTCGCGCCTGCCTGGCCCCGCCGTGCCTTCCTGGCCCCGCCAGCACCTGCCTGGCCCCACCGCACCTGCCTGGCCCCTTCGCCCCGGCTCGTCCTGCCGTGCCGCCTCGGGCTCCGTCTCCGCTGCTCGCCCGTGCTGAGGCGCTTCGCGACCGCCGTGCTGGAGGGGGCTGTCGCTGTGTTCCTGTGGAGCTGTGCCGCTGACCCTGCACGATGGCGGACTTCGTGCTCCGACTGGACGCCGAGGGCCATGCGGTTGACTTCGCCGCCTGGCTCTCCGATCTCCGCCGCCACCTTACAGGTCAGCGCCAGGATGGCCACTCTTTGGTTGTCCATGTCGACGACTTGCTCCCCCGTCCCCCCGCACCTGCTCCCCTCCCTGCTGATCCCTCCTCTGATGACCGTGAGACCTTCTCTACTGCTGCGCTTGCCCGTGCGGTCTGGGACTCCCGCGATGCAGTCGCTCAGGTTGGCATTAGCCACGCCCTCCCTGTCTCTGAGCGCTCGCGTTTTGTCACTATTGAGACGGCCAAAGCTTACTTAGACGCTGTTATTGCCCGCTATTCCACACCCGCGTCTGCTTCTGCTGGTCGCCTGCTCTTCCCTATGCTTTTCCCAGACCTTGCAGCTTTCCCTACCGTCGCAGACTTTGCCACTCACCTGCGTGCCCTAGAGACCCGCTATCGCACTGCCAGCACTGCCGCCCAGCTCACTGCGCTCCCCCCCCCTTTCTGCATGACGCTCTATTTTATCGCCATGCGCCTGCCAGACCGCCTCGCTAGTGCTCGCGATCACTTTCTTAGCCAGCACCCGGGTGACCTCACTCTCACTGCCTTTGTCGACACCCTCACCGAGATCGAGACTCGCCAGCGCACTATCGCTCAGTCGAGCGGTGCGCCGGCAGTTTCTATCTTTCACGGTTGTGCCCCCTCTCAGTGTGCGTTCACTGACGTTTCGGCTGCGGTCGCCTCGGCGGCCCCTCTCACCGAGTCGGCTGGTGCGGTCCACCCGCAGCAGCGCTCGCGCCGCGGTGGCCGTGGTCGCCAGGGGGGTAGGGGTGGTGGTGGCAGTAGTGGTGGTGACGGTAGTCCGCCTGCGGGGACTACCACTGGTGGGCAGGAGCAGCAGCCCCAGCCGCAGCAGGAGCAGCCCCAGCCGCAGCCGCCGCCCCAGCAGCAGTTACCGTCCCAGCAGCAGTCGCCGCAGCAGTGGGCCCGTCTCCCGCCTGGTTGGCCCGGCACCTCCGGAGGTAGTGGCCGTGGTGGCGGCCCGCGCAGCTTGGCGTCTACCGGCGGCTCTGGTGCTGTCACCTGCCAGTACCAGCTTCAGACCGGGCCTCTTCGCGGCACTCTGTGCCACCGCCCGCACCCGACTGCCCGCTGTTTCCGCCGCCTCGACGATCTCTTTCGTCGTCGCTTTAGCCCGGCCCCGGACCTCCCCGACTGGCATAGCCTGCTCCGCCAGGGCGTGCCGATCTTTGAGTTAGACATGGATCAGCTAGGTGCTGCTTTGCATGCTTTGTATTCTGACGCTTCTAGTTTTGCTGGATCTTATTACCCTGTGTACTCTAGTTTAGGTATTGCACCATTGTGTAGCTTAGCCTCCCCTGCTGCGTCAGGCATAGGACTGCCTAGGTTGCCAAGTCTAGTCGCTGCACCGGCTCCGTCCCCAGCCTCCGCCACTGCGTCGCTGTCCTTCACTCTCGACTCCGGTGCTTCTGCCTGCTTCTTCCGCGACCGTTCCACGCTCACGCCGCTTGCTGCACCTGCTGTTGTCTCTCTCGCTGACCCCTCTGCGGGTCCGGTCGTCGCGCGCAGTTCTACGTCCCTTCCCTGTCCGGCAGTTCCCTCGGGCTCCCTTACTGGCCTCCACGTTCCCTCGTTCTCCAGGAACCTGGTTGGTGTCGGCTGTCTCCAGGACCTCGGCGTCACCACCACGTTCCCCGGGCACGAGCGGTTCGCTGTCTGTTCTGAGGCTGTCTCAGGTTCCCCCCTTGCGACGTTCCCCCGGGACCCGGTGTCCGGTCTGTTTACCCTAGACACCGCTTCCCCCCCGGTTGGTGCGTCCTCCCAGGTCGCTGCAGCTTGCTCGTGTCGGTCCCTCACTCACCCCTCCCTTCTCTGGCACCACCGCTTAGGTCACCCTGCTCTCCCGCGTCTGCGTCACATGTCCCAGCACGGTCTTGTCTTAGGTCTCCCTGCGTCGCTCCCTGCCCTTCCTCCCTCGACTGCGCCACCGTGCACGCCTTGCGTCGAGGGTCGGCTTCGCCGTGCTCCTCACTCCTCCTCGCTGCGTCCTGCTACTGCCCCCCTTCAGACCCTGCACTTGGACGTTTGGGGCCCTGCCCCCGTCCCCGGACCGCGCGGTGAGCGCTACTTCCTTGTGCTCGTCGACGACTACACGCGCTACACCACGGTGTTTCCCCTGGAGCGGAAGGCCGACGTGCCCGACGTTCTTCTCCCGTGGGTTGTGGCTGCGCGTCTCCACCGCGGTCTCCCCGTGTTGTGTCTCCACTCCGACCGTGGCGGCGAGTTCGCCTCTGGTCGGCTTGGACAGTTCTGTCGTGCGGAGGGCATCACCCAGTCGTACACCTTGCCGGACTCGCCACAGCAGAATGGGGTTGCTGAGCGCCGCATCGGCTTCGTCATGGAGGTCGCCCGTACCTCCATGATCCATGCCGATGCCCCCCATTTTTTGTGGCCGTTCGCTGTTCGCTACGCTGCTCACCAGCTTAACCTGTGGCCACGCTCCCAGCGGCCGCAGGTTTCGCCGAACCTCCTTTGGACCGGGTCCCCGGGTGACGCGTCTGCGTTCCACGTCTGGGGCTGCCTTGCTCACGTTCGTGCCTCTAGCACGGACAAGCTCACTGCCCGCACTGTCCCCTGTGTCTTCCTCGGTTTCCCCCTGGACTCGTCTGACTGGCTTTTCTACCACCCGCCGTCTCACCGCTTCCTCCACTCTCGTGACATCACCTTTGACGAGTCCGTCTCCTTCTACCGCCGCTTCCCTCACCAAGGTCTCCCAGTTGCCCCGCCCCTGTTCCTTGCTCCCTCTCCCCCGGTAGCCCCTGCCCCTCTCCCGCCTCGTTCTGCCCCGTCTGGTGTCTCTCACGTCACTCCCCTCCCGTCGGTTGTCCCCGTTGAGGAGTCTGCTGACTCTGGTGGTACCCCCGGTCTGTCCTTGCCGCGTCCCCCTTCCCCGGTGCCTCCGCCCCCACTGTCGCAGTCGCCGACCCCACTGCAGCCGCCGTCGCCGTCGCCGCCGCAGCCGTCCCCGCTGTCGCCGCCGCCGCAGCCGTCGCCGCCGCAGTCGTCGCCGCCACTGCCGCCGCCGCTCTTGGCCCCTGGGGGTGCTGGTGTGGAGGAGGGTGTTCGTCCTGCGGCTTCTGGGGGTGCCGCTGGTGTTGGAGGGGGTTCTCGCTCTGGGGGTGTTGGTTCTGGGGGTGCTGCTGTTGAGTTTTCTGCCGACGGTCGTTCTGCCTCTGCTGGTCCGAGAGTTCCGGCCCAGCCGTCGTCGCCGCCGCAGCAGCCGTCGCCGCCGGTTTCCGCTCTCCGCCTGCTCGGCCTTCCCTCACCGGACCGCGCGCCGGTGTCTCCCCCACCGCCTGCTGACCTCCCTGTCTACGGTCCTGTGTTCCCGCCGCCGGACTCGTCTCCGGCCCGTCTTCCTCCTCGTTCCCCTCCTGTGTCTCCTCCGCTGTCCCTTGACCCTACCCCTCCGTCTCACATTTGGGCTCGCCGTCCCCCCCGTGCTCGTCCCGTCTCTCCTGTCCTGCCCACCCACCCTATGTTGCTCCGTTCCCGCTCGTCTCGTCCTCCCCTCCTCTCGTCCCCTCCTCCCTCGTCCCTTGCTGTTGCACCTCCTCCGTTCTCTGACTACCTCCGTGCTTCTCGTCCCCTTGTCCCTCGGGTCCTTGCCTCTCTTGTTACCGACCCTGCTGTTCCTGTCTCGCGCCTTGACGCGCTTGTCGCCGCTGTCGCTGACTTCGCTTCTACCCGACGCCTTGACTACGCTACCGCTCTGGTCTCTGACCCTGCCCGTCCTCTGTCCGTCGGGGGTGCTCCTGCCCTTGGCACTGACGTCCTAGAGAACAGGCAGTACGAGCTGGCTTTCCTTTCCGAGGCTGCTCCCCATCTCTGCTCCATGCTCCTAGTCCCTGAGGGTGACCCAGACGCCTTCGACATCCCGACCCCTCGCACCTACGCTGAGGCGACCTCGGGACCTTGGGCCTCTCAGTGGATAGCTGCCATGGAGCAGGAGATGGCATCTTGGAGGTCCACCGGCACTTACGTCGACGCAGTTCCCCCGCCTGGGGTGAACGTAGTCGATGGTCGGTGGCTCTTCAAGGTGAAGCGCCCCCTTGGAGAGCCGCCTGTCTTCAAGGCGCGCTATGTGGCCAGAGGTTTCAGTCAGCGCGAGGGGGTTGACTTCTTCCAGACCTTCGCCCCGACCCCGAAGATGACCACTCTTCGGGCGCTGCTACACGTAGCAGCACAGCGTGACTACGAGCTTCACTCCCTCGACTTCTCTACTGCCTTTCTTCAGGGCAGCCTACACGAGCAGGTCTACCTGCGCCGACCACAGGGCTTCACTGGTACCTTCCCTCCTGGGACCCAGTGGCTTCTCAGGCGCCCGGTCTACGGCCTGCGTCAGGCTCCCCGCGAGTGGCACGACACGCTACGTGCCACGTTAGCAGACCTGCAGTTCTTTCCGTCCTCTGCTGACCCTTCACTGTTTGTGCGTTCCGGCCAGACTCCGTTCTACATCCTTGTCTACGTAGACGACCTAGTCTTCGCTACTCCTGACAGGGACGCACTGGCCTCTGTGAAGGCTGAGCTGCTGAAGAGACACACCTGCACTGACCTTGGAGAGCTGCGTCGCTATCTTGGCCTGCAGATCTCCAGGGACAGAGCAGCACGCACCATCACTCTGACCCAGTCACACTTGGTGCCTCAGGTCCTTCAAAGGTTCGGTCTTCAGTTCTCCTCCGCACAGCCCACACCTCTACCCGTAGACCATGGGCTCTCTGCTCCCGTTCCTGAGGAGCCAGTAGAGCCCAGTGGCCCCTATGCAGAGCTGGTGGGTTGCCTCATGTACCTGATGACTTGCACGCGCCCAGATCTCGCATACCCTCTCAGCATCCTGGCTCGCTTTGTGGCTACAGGCAGACACCGACCTCAGCACTGGTCTGCCGCTAAGAGGGTTTTGCGTTATCTTGCTAGTACATCGGGCATGGGTTTAGTGCTAGGAGGACGCATGCCAGTGGTCCTTACTGGGCACACAGACGCTTCTTGGGCAGACGACGCTGAGACGCTCAGGTCGTCGCAGGGCTACTGTTTCAGCCTTGGTTCGGGTGCTATCTCTTGGAGATCCACTCGCTCGTCGTTCGTGGCTCAGTCTAGCTGTGAGGCTGAGATCTACGCTGGTGCCATGGCGGCAGAGGAGCTCCGCTGGCTGACCTTCTTGCTCACAGACTTAGGTGAGCGGCCTAGCTCTGCCCCGGTCCTGTACGCTGACAACAGGGCCATGATACTCCTGTGTCAGGAGCCTCGGCTTGAGGGCAGAGCGAAGCATATCCAGCTGCGGTACTTTCTCCTGCGCGAGCTACAGCAGCGCCGCCAGGCCCGCGTAGTTCACTTGGCCTCAGGTGCCAACACAGCTGATATCTTTACTAAGGCGCTTGCGCCTAAAGATCATCAGCGGCACTGTGTACAGCTTGGTCTTGTTCCTGTAGCTGCTCCCCTGTTAGGATCCTGATTGTGTACTCTCTATTATATATGCTTGTCAGACTGGCCTTGTGGCCTTACCTCCAGTGGCTGGACTAGTAGTGCCACCCTGGCTTGCTTCAGTTTTGGTTGTATTCTTGCTGACTGGTCTCCAGACCCCTGCCTCAGTGGTTGGACTAGTAGTGCCGCCCTGAGCTGTTTGTTTCTTGTTTAGTTTCACCCCTTGTCTAGCCTAGGGGGTGTGTCAACTTATACATATTATCTATGTAGAAGTTATAGGCTAGACTGAGGTATGCTTCTAGTGAGTACAACCAACTAGTATTTGTTCTAGGTTTCCACCTCTAGTCATTATTCTTTCTCACTTTGACATGCTGATGCTTCCTCACTGTCCACGCCCGCTCTGGGTTGGGGCATAGATTTGACGAGAACCGGGGTTCATTGTGTTAGTTTTATTCCTCTGGATGTCTTCCTACCACTATACACACTAGGAGCTAGCTAGTCTACAATCCCGGCCAACCAACCTAGTTGGCACAGCAAGCAGCCTTCTCGCTTGCAGGCAGGCGAGTGAGATCAGATCAGAAACCAATTATATCGCGCAACGCAAGGAAGGCGGGCACGGCGTCTTGGTCAAATTTCCGGGCAAAGAGGAAACAGTGTGTGGGCCGGCCCGCCACTGTGCATGGCCGCGAGGGCGACACCTTGAGGAAGCCCACTGTTTCCACTGGGGGGAATCTACTCCGCTGCAATACAGGAGGGGCAAAGGAACAAAGCAGTGGAAACAGTTAACAAAATGCATTCGCAGAAGCGAGCACAGCAAATTTGTCGACAAGAATATGCAGAGGGTGGAACGACAAGGGAGTGGGACGTACTTGCAACGAGAGGATGAATTCCCTCGAGACTTGGGTCGTGTTGTAGCTCATGGGGTGGCTGGAGGAGGATGTGAACCAGTGCACGTACAGCACGCTGCGCGGCTCCACCGCGTCCTTGTCCAGCAGCTGAGCAACGGGACAGGCGGAGGGGAGAGGGCAGCAGCGGATTGTGAGAATGGCGGGGCATCATGTGCCATTCAAGTGGCACGAGAAAAGAGCAGCGAGGCTGTGCGGGCATGAGGGGGTGGGCAGGGGTTGGTGCTTACCGCAAGAATGGTTTGGATGTAGCTCTCGTCTGGGATCTGCAAGGGGGGGCGTGGGGTGCATATGGGGGGGATGAGATGAGGCTGCGACAGGCGCATGGCACATGTGGATGCGCGGCATGTGCATGCATGGCACGAAGGGCTTATTGATCAGGGCGGAGCATTCCCAGGCTGGGCTCAGAAATGGATGGCATGGGCCAGTGGGGGGAGGGGAGTGGGGCGAATGGGGGAAGTGAGGGGATGGGGGAGGAGAAGCAGAGGCGCGAGGCGTACCTCAGCGTTTGTTTTGACGAATGTCTCGTAGAACTTGCTGTCCTCCACCACCTTGGCGGCATGCGGTCGAGTCAACACAAACCACTGCATAGTGGGGGGGGGGGGGGGGGGGAGGGAGGGGGTGGGGGGGGCACAACACAGAAATCGGGAGGTTGAGAACGATGCTACTTGCAGCAAAGCCTTATCCGTCTAACCATCTTCCATCAAACGATAAAATGTTGAGTCCATGGTGACGCTGCACAAGGTTCACGTCCCACTTCCAGTAAGAGCCTCTGCGTCTGGTCATAGCTGCCTCTCCCCGTTGCCACTGCGACTGCAAGCTGCGAAAAGCATATCAAGCGAGCCAATCGCCCCACTGCTGCTCATCTGCCATCCCCCCACCCCACAGCCTCTTCCTTGCGACCCCTAGCGTCTCCCCTGCGACCTCTAGCACCTCCCTGCGACCCGTGGCGCCTCACCTGCGATCCTTTTTTGAAGTCTCGGCCCTTGATGACAGGCGCCATCTGCTTGCGGTAGCGCCACACGCTCGAATGGCTGCACGGGCGGGGAACGGGGCGGGGGGAGGGAGAGGCGGGAGGAGGGACGAGACGCAACAGAAGCGAGATGAGAGAGGTGAACGGAAGGAGAGAGGTGAGACGTGGGAGAGAGAGAACGAGTTTGACATTTGCGCGGCTTCAACGTCGCTTCTCTCCGTCGTTTCCTCGTCGTCAATCACCTGGGTGTTGACCTCGCCAGTGCATTACCTCGTAACGAAGCTCGCTGAGGTGCATTACCTTGTAACCAACCTCGCTGCCGTGCGTTACCTTGTAACCAAGCTCGCTGAGGTGCATTACCTTGTAACCAAGCTCGCTGAGGTGCATTACCTTGTAACCAAGCTCGCAGCGGTGCATTACCTTGTAACCAAGCTCGCAGCGGTGCATTACCTTGTAACGAAGCTCTTGTCGGACGCCATGAGGTAGTCGAAGACGTGTGTGAAGTTGAAGAGCGGCAAGCAGCTGCGCGGACGAGAGGATGGGGACACGGGGACGAAGACAACATCACGCGGGCCAAGGGAAGGGGGGGGGGGGCAAGAGAGGATAAGCATGGCTGCATTGAGCGATGTGCATGGCGCACATGGGCATCATTCTAGTTAGCTGCCAGTCGCCTGCTGAGGGTGGAATGAGAGCGCGATAGAGGCAAGTCCGACCTCCCGAAAACTCCAGTTTACGTTCCCTCGGATTTCCCACCATCACAGCACGACGACTCCCCCCAACCCCCGCAGCTCATTGCTTCCCCTCTCCCTTCCCCCCTTTCCCCCTTTCCCCGGACTCACGACTCCGACAGCAGCACGAAGCGCTGGTTGGCGGGGTCCGCCAGCGCCGCTGCGAGCAGGCGCCGCTCCGCGCGGATGAGATTGGGCCCGCCCCACGTGATCTGGGGGGAGGGGAGGAGGACGGCAGGAGAGGAGTGAGCGGCGCGAGACGGCGAGAAATGCGACACAGAAACGGCGGGAGAGGGGCACGGAGCGCAGCGTCGAGAGCTTACGGGGCGAAGCAGCAAGGATGGTGGGGTGGGGGGAGGGGGGGGGAAGGGGGGGGAAGGGTGTGGGGGGAAAAAAGAGATGGAGGAGGGACGTTGGCGATTTGAGGTGAAGGCGCGCTTACGGGAACGCTGGGTATTTGGCGGCCACGGAAGACGGAGGAGTTGACGTGTTTATCGCACTCGAAGTCGGCGGTGGACGCGTGGATGTAGATCGAGTAGCGCCCCTCGTGGCCCTGGCCCACACAAAATAGACAGAATGCACTATTGACCATTCATGCGTCACACATTGGACCGGCCTCTCGCAGCCAATAGGCGATCGCAAGTGCCTTTAAAAAAAAACAGACTGCCACGGAATAGGAGATACGCGCCACTTCGAGAGACAGTGAGAGCATCAGCGAACTAAAGTTTTAAAAAAAAGGGATGCGAAGGGATGTATGCGGCTAACAGGATTTTGGACGCACCTGGAAGAACCGTTGCCAGACTCGCTCGAGCGGCAGCGGCCCTCTGACGAGAAAGAGGAACGCGATCTTGGGCTGCACGGCCGCCAAGTCCGTCTGCGTGGGCTGCTCCATGGCTCGTCGAAACATGTCCTGATCCACCGCGTCGATGTTCCCCGTGTCCCACTCTGTTCGCTCCTCCGACCCGCCGCCCACTAACAATAACCCCAGGTACACTAGTCCGCTGGCTAATAGTAGGTACGACAGGTTGATCACCACTGTGGAGCAAATGCGAACCCGCGGGAACCGGAACGACGCACGGACTGCCATGGTTTTCTTCTTCCTGCACTGTGCTGTTAATGAGTGATTAGCAGCTACTACAGGTTGATAATTTGGGTTAGCTTTATTCTTTCGTCAAGAAAGGTGTAGCGCTAGTGAATTATCGAAGTGGAACAAGAACAGGTGGGCTGCAACAAAGGCTGCTATTTTAAGTGGGTGACGCAGGTGCAGTACAAGTAGGGAGAGCGAAGCAGGTGAGTTCCATCCAGGGGCGGCGAGGGAGGGGAATGGCGGGAGGAGCAAAGATGATTGGCCAGGCGGGGGTGAGCTGCTCGCTTGCCGTGCCAGGCAAGGGAGGGAGGTGAGGCGAGTGACGGGCGGGTGCCAGGCGCGCACAGTCTGACTGACTCACACTTTGCCGCCGCTTCTGAAAGGCTCCAGTTTGGTCCGGCCCGCTGACTCCGTTCTCTCGAAAATGCCGCCGAGCCTCAGATCACAACAATCCGCTCTTCCGGTGGCGCACGGCGCTGCTCCAGCGGAGCACTGTCAACCTTTGCGCCCACGGCTGGAGTGCGCGTGAGTTCCAAAGGGGCGGCGGCGCCCTCCTATAATTGCATGCTGGAACTTCCAAGTGGGATGGGGGGACGCGCAAGCGCAACCCAACGCTAAGGGAGTGCTTCCCCTCAGCAGCTTTGACCCTCCCCCTTACCTCGCCTTGCTGTCCTTCTCCCCGCAGCGCCTCTGCAAGTTCCCGGCGCCCTCGAAAACTCCCCTCCACCAACGGTGACCAGCGGAGACTGGAGCAACATCTAAGTCCTCCCCGCCAGACTTCGGGATCACCGCAGAAGCAAGCCAATCAAATTCAACCGAAGTGCAGGTGCGGGTAGAATTCGGTTCGGTTCGTGAACGTGGTTCGGAGAACGGGGGGGCTCAATCGGATATTGGCACACACGTTGACGGCGTCTGATTGCACGCGGCTGGCGGGGCGCAGAGCACTGAGCATATAGGCGGCCCAGCAGGGCGGGGAGTTCCAAGTTCCAAGGGTGATTGAGACGGAATGAGTTAGAGGCCGTGCGAAGACCGGCAGCACATCCCGGTCGTCAAGTTCAACCTGATCTTGCAGCGTACCCTAAGCTAAATGTACCCTCTGCGGTGTATTTCATCTTCCTGAAGACAAATTACATTAGCGACCTAAGCTAGTAAAGCGCATGAATATTTTTGCTGACAGCTTCCAGGATCAAATCAGCAGAAAGGCAACTATTACATTAATACCCAGACCCGTAGTAACCAGCGTGAGGGGGTCCTGCACCTGGAGGCCCTGTGTTTGGCCCTTGAGGGCCACCGCCATGACCGGGATAGTAACCTGCGTTAGCTGCACCTGGGGCAGGAGATTGCTGATATCCATTCCCGCCATACGACTGGTACTGCCCAACACCTGGAGCTCCTGGCCCCGCAGCTTCCACACCCGGCGCAGGGTTGGTTCCAGGGGGGTACTGCTGCTGCTGGTAGTTGTAGGCAGGAGCCGTGCCACCCATTGGCGCTGCAGCAGGAGCTGAGTACCCACCGCCATGCGCCCCGGGACTGGGTGCAGGCTGGTTCCATGCACCGCCAGCGGGAGCAGCGGCAGCAGCAGGGTTTGAGGAAGGCACTGAGTAGCCATATCCCGAGGCTTGGCTGTACTCACTAGCCCCACCCTGCCCTCTATAGCTGTGCTGTGCACCCTGTTGCTGCTGTGCTGGCTGCTGCTGCTGCTGGTGATGCTGCTGCTGCTGCCATCCCTGGCTGCCAGAATGCTGCTGCCCATAGCCCTCATAGCCATAAGCCCCGCCTCCCTGCCCCGCAGCCTGACCTTGTGCTACCGCCTGCGCCTGCTGCTGTGCCTGGGGCTGCACCTGCGGCTGAGGCTGCGGCTGCGGCTGGGGCTGGGGCTGGGGCTGGGGCTGCGCCGAGGGCTGGGACTGCGGCTGGGAATGGGGCTGAATTTGGGGCTTCAGCGGGGGTCGGGGGTGGGCCGGGGGAGGTTGGAACTGGTGCGGGTGCTGCTGGCTGAGCGAGAGGTAGAGCTGGGCGCGCTGCTGCGCCTGGCGGGCGGAAAGGTTGGAATTGAGCGTTGTGAAGCGCCCCCGAATCTCCTCCATGCGCTGGCGGGGGGGTGGGGGCACGCAGAGAGGGGTAAGGAGGCATGCGCGGTTTAGCGGCAAGTGGAACTGCAGCTTCCACGTCCAACAAGTGCCAGCACCTCGCCACACCATCTGCACCACGTCCACACGACTTATACATCAACCATTGACATCCCCCTCCACCCACACCCTTCCCCCTCCCCTTCCCCCTCTCCCCCATCGCTTCCCCCCTGCCGTCCACTCACGAGCGTGTGGCGGTCAGTCTCCTCCTTCTCCTCCCTCGCCTGCGCCTGCTGCAGCATGCTCGTCTCACCCGCCACCAGCGCCTCTAGCTCCTCCACCGACGCCGGCAGCGCGGCCTGCGGCGGCAGCTGCAGCATCGGCATGCCTGGCGGTGGTGGGGCGCAAAGGGGTTGGGCGGGGTGAGGGGAGAAGTGTGGACAGCGCAGCGCAAAGAAGGAAGGCGGACAACGGAAGTGGGATATCGAGTGGATACTTGGAGCGGACAGACGCGCACATCCATGCACTCACCTGCACCACCCATACCACTCGATTCTACCTGTCCCCCATAAGCGCCCATCGGCCCCATTGCTCCCATTGGCCCCATCTGCCCCATCTGCCCCATCTGCCCCATCTGCCCCATCGGCCCCACTGCGCCCATCGCCCCGCCATCAGCCGCCATCCCCATTGCGCCCCCCATTGCGCCCCCCATTGCGCCCCCCATTGCGCCCCCCATTGCGCCTCCCATGGCGCCTCCCGCCTGCCTCTGCGCCTCCAGCTGCGCCGCTATCAGCCTCAGCGTCGCGTCCTCCGCCTCTCCCCCGATCACCATCTCCGCCTCCCCCGCCGCCCCCGCCGCCCCCGCCGTTGCCGCCGCCCACATCTGCTGCTGTTGCTGCAGCTGCTGCTGCGCGGGGTCGTGCGCCAGCGCCGCCAGCGCCATCTGCACGGCCGCCGGGCCGCCCAGAATCCCGCCGCCTTTCCGCAGGCTGTCGATCTGCAGCTGGTCGATGTACCCGCGCAGCACGCTCTCCCCCGCCGCCAGCGTCTCGCGATCACCCGCCGAGATCTTGACGACGAAGGCGCCGTCACCGGCGGCGGGGTCGTCCTCGAGCTGGATGCGGCAGGCCGTCTGCTTCTCCAGCCCCTGCACCACCATGCCCGCCGTCCCGATTATCCGCGACCGCATCCGCCGGTCCGCCACCGGTATGCTGATCGCGAACGGGTGCGACGCGGACGGCGCGTGGCGCTTCGCCCCGCCCCCGCCACCCCCTCCGCCTCCGCCCCCGCCTAAGGTAGAGGGACAGCCCTGGGAGAAGCGGTTCCGGTGGGGAAGGGAAGGAAAATTAGGGCTTAGAGCCAACCAGGGGGAGGATGTCAGGCTAATCGCTACCTGCGACGGTTAAATAATCGCTAACACGTTTGACGACCAGTTTGTGGTTGGGTAGCCGCGAAACGTCGCTAAATCAATTCGACGTCTTACAACCGCTATCATGGTGCCTGATGGCACCACTAACTTCCCCCGATCTGCCTTCTCGCTTCTCTGATTCCCTCCGCCGTCCCCCCAGCTCCCCCTCCGCGCACCTGGGTGGGGTGGCCCGCCTCCCCGCAGATGCGGCACGTGAGGTCGTCGTCGCGCCGCTTCTTCCAGTTGCGCTCCGCCGCCTTCGCCTTCGCCTCCCACGCCTTGCTGTACTTCCCGCCAAAGTCCGTCGGCACGTCCACCCCCCCTTCCTCACGCTCCCGCCTGCTCTCCGCCTCCCCGGCCTTCCGCTTCTCCGCCTTCCCCCCAGCTTGCTGCTGCGCGGGCGGCGCGTAGCCCTGCGCGTACACGCTCTTGAAGAACTCGTCGTCCTCGCCCTCGCCGCCCTGCACGCCGGCCATCGCGGCGGGCAAGCCGAGATCGAAACAGGGGCAGTGCGGCACTGTAATCAGGGAGTAGCAGGCTTGGCGCAAAGCCGAAGGAGGATGACGGGGAGTGATGGGAGAGAGGGAAATGATCGTCGAGGGAGGGGAGAGGGGAAGCAGAAATCGCAATTATTGCACACTAGTTCCAATTTGTGCCTTCCACTGTAGCTGAAAAGGTTAGAAAACTCATTTCTGACAATCCTCGATATGGGCAGACTTGAAACAAATTCACGAAGTTCTAGAAGCCAATTGTTGATCACGATTCACTCACAGAATTTGCTTCTACGACAGACTCCACCCACGCTTTCAGAGCTCTGCCTGCGCTTTTGGGGTTGCGTAGTGACCTTCCTTCTGACAGAAGCCCGTTTCGCGAACCACCTTGCCGTTTCAATTCGTGCGCGCTGAGCCAAGCAGGGAGATTCCCCGTGAGCGATCCCGATGGGGCGGCAGAAGGGCGGCGATGCGGCGCGATCCAAGAGCCGACCCGCCAGCAGCAGGTGCGCCGCGGCCAAGGTGGTTCGGTGCGCGGCTGGAGCATTCGGTAGGCCAGCCGCGATTGCTCTTCCGCGAGCTCGCTGTGGCGATCGTGGTGGCTCCAGGGCGCACGGCGCCGTCTCAGGACGAGAGGCTCAACCAGATGCGAGCCACGCGTCTCTCCTTCTTCGTCGCGTGCGGGGGATCAGTGTCGCATCGTTCGAGAGTCGCGGGCGTTGGCCGGCGTGGTTGCGAGCTACCCAGCGTGATCCCAGGGGGGCCGGAATCCGCCTCGTGCCTTCCTTATTCGCCACGGTTTCGCGACGAAACGTTGGGTTACAGCCATCGGGGGAGGCGGAATGGTGAAACCTTGAGATCGCGATGTCATCCATCCGACTCAATCAACCCCCTCCCCTCTGCCCCGTCCGCCCCGCCCTCTCGTGCGTCCCTCCCCATCACACCCTCCCCATGCGTCCCTTGCCCCCCCGCCACTGCCGCCCCCCTTCTCCGTTCCAGCCTCGCGGCATCCCTGCTTGCAACGGGCGCTGCAGGCGCTACAGGGGGGGCGGGGAGCGCCCCGCGGATGGTGGGCTTCGGGGGATATGTGGGCAGCGCGCGGGTGCAGACTGCAGCGACAGGGGGGGCTGTGGGGGAAAGGGAGGGCGCGGAGGGGGGAGAGAGCAGAGTGCGGGAGGGGCAGGGGGGAGCAGCGGAGGCTGCTGCATCAAGCGGGCCAAAGGAGCTGGTCATTGGGGCGGTGAGCGCTTGGGCGGGAGGGGAGGCGGAGTGGGGGGGGAATTGGGGTTGAGGGTTCGCAGGGGGAAACGGATGTAGCCGAGCTGGGTGCTTGAAATCGGGTATGGTGAGGAGAGAGAGACGACCCTGGTGGGGTTGTAGTGGCAGCGCATGCGTAGGGGGCGGAGACATAGGGGGGTAGCAGGGGAAGAATTAGAGAGTGGGGAGGTTTTACTGCATGTGAGGGCGTACCGCTGTGCGCAACGCTATCAGCTCCGCTATTGTGCTCGCCGTCGCCCCCCCCCCACCACTCCCGTCCACTTCTCATCTTCACCACTTCCCCCCTCTCCCCCCCCCCCCCCGGCCTGCCTGTCGTGCGCTGGTGGCCATGGCCATGGACAGGACGTGGACGGCGAGGCAGCGGCGCACCTGAGGCGGCTGGCGAAGAAGGACGCCACCACCAAGGTGAGCGGGCAGAAGGTGGCGTGCTTCGGGTGGGCTCAGAGTGTCTGTCGCCTGTGCCGCCTGTGCTGCCTGTGCCGCCTGTGCCGCTTGTGCACTTCTCCAGCGTGTTGACGCCCATCCGCTTCCCCCTTCATTGGCGTCCACCTTGCGTCACTTCCTCCTCCCACTCATGATCCCCCCCTCTCGCCCCCCTCTCGCCCCCCTCTCGCCCCCCTCTCGCCCCCGTCTCCCCCGTCTCCCGCCTCTCTCCCGTCGTCCATCCATGCCCCCCTCGCAGCTGAAGGCTCTGGAGGCGCTTCAAGGGGTGCTGGGCAGCAGCAGTGCCGCCCAGATGCAAGCCATGCTGCCCGCATGGGTGAGATATGATGCTCTGCCATCCCATGCCATGCCATGCCATGTGACGGCTAGGATGGGCATGATGTGATTCACACCAAACACGCATTATGCGTCTTCATCGACATCCTTCGTGTCTCTCATCCTCTGGCGGCTCTCACCCTGCTGCCCCTTCATTCTTCCACGCACCTACCCGTACCTGCAGGCATTTGAGTACCGCCGCCTCGTGGTGGACGGCAGCAGGGCCGTGCGCCTCGCCACGCATGCCACCATGGCGCTGCTCGTCAAAGGCGTGGGGTGAGTTGGTGTGATAGTGTAACTTGGAATATAACTCACGTGGGCTTTGGAAGGGGCCGCTCATGTGCTACAGCTCAGTTTCCCGCCCCGTTTCCCCCCCCCCTGAGCGGATTCCCATTCAAGTGCATCCATCGTGTCTCCTCCCTTCATCTCACCCTGAGGCGTCTCTCAAAGCTGCTTCTCACTCCCTTCTCACATGTCCAAAGCGCCGTCTCGCTTCCCTCCCCCCCTCCCCGCCTGGCAGCAAGGGCCTGGCGCCGCACCTGAGGCAGCTGATGGGGCCGTGGTGGGTGGCGCAGTTCGACTCCACCCGGGATGTGGCTGCCGCCGCCACACTCTCCTTCCAGGTGCGTGAATCAGCCAATCAGACAACGAGGATACTCTAGTCTAGCCATGCCACGGTTGTCTCATGCATTGCCATTCGCCTCGCCACCATCCCATCCATCCCATCCATCCCATCCATGATCTATCCCATCCATGATCTATCCCATCGCCGATCTGTCCTTCTCCCCGTGCCGCGCTCTGATTCGTCCCCTCTAGTCTCCTCCCACTCGCCCCACCGCCATCCTCCACGTTGTTCCCAGGCGGCCTTCCCCACCCCGTCACGGCGCATGGAGGCGCTGGCGTTCGCATGGGAGGCGGTGCTGGCCGCCCTGGCGGAGCTGCTGGGCGCCACCCCGCAGTCGCTGGCTGCTGCCGATCGCAGCCTCAGCGTGGAGGAGGCCAAGCACCGCCTGGACGAGGTGAGGGGGGGTGGGAGGGAGGAGAGATGCGGGGAGGAGGAGAGACGACAGGGTGGAGAGGAAACGGGGGGATGAGGGAGGAGCGGGAGGGGACAGGAGCTGGTAGGCGAGGCGAGCATTGGATGCGGTGATTTGGAGGTTTCCTTCGCCCTCTCCCTCCTGGACCGCCCCTCTAAGCTCTCTTGTCCACCTCTCATCCCACCACCTCCTTCCATCCCCGCCCGCCGTCAGCTCCTGTGCGCGGCGCTGCTGGCGCTGAGGGCGTTTCTTCAGACCATGCTGCCGCCGCCGCCACACGGAGGGTCTGCTGCCGGCAGCGCGGCAGCAGGGGGGACAGCAGCAGCAGCCCCAGCGAGCCTGCCCCCCTCTGTGCTGGCAGCCCAGCCACGCATTGCCACCGCTCTCCTCTCGTCCCTGCGCGCCCTCTCCTTCCTCCGCGCCCTCGCCAAACACCCCTCCCCACGGGTGCGCACCGCCGCCTACCACGCGCTGCCAGCTGTCCTCCTCTCATTGGGCCCCCGGGGATCAGAATCTGGCTGGCAGGAGCAGCAGGGAGAGAGAGAAAGCAGTGAGGGGGCGGAGAAAGGGGGGGGAGGGGAAGGCAGAGAGAGGGGAGGGAAGGGGGAGATGGAAGTATTGGGGGAGGCGGAGGTGTGGGAGAGGGTGGGGCCTGTGGTGGCAGCAGCCATGGGGGAGAGGGAGTCAGCGTGCCACGGGGCGATGTGGGAGCTCGTGCTCGTCGCCTCGCGCACCTGCCCCTCCCTCTGGTCCAACCCGCCCTTCCTCAAAGCTGCACTGCCGAAGCTCTGGACTTTCCTCCGAGCCGGCTGCTTTGGCTCGGCAGCACAGTCATACCCGTGCCTGCTGCCGCTGCTCTCTGTGTTTTTCCGAGCCAGGCTGCACCAATCACAGGACGTCCTGCTGCCCTTCTTCACTAGTCTGTGGCAGGGACGGCTTGTCCACATGGCGAGACCTGATTGGGTGGCGCTGCTGACGTGTGTGAGGGAGTGCTTGGTGCTGAGTGTGGTGCAGCTGGGGAAAGAGGAGGAGAGGAGGGCCGGGGAGGAGGGGGTTGGGGAAGGGGAGCAGAAGGAGGGTGGGGGAGAAGGGAAGGCGATATCTGCTGCAGAATTAACTAGGGCGGTGTTGTGGGATTTGTGCTTCCAGGACCTTCTTCCCGAGCCTAGACACACAGGCTCGGACTCAGGCTCGGAGCCGCACGGCCCAGAAAAGAGTGCAGGCAGCGGTGGGAAGGGCAGAGGAGATAGGGGCCGGCAGCATGCAGGAGAGCGGAAGGTAGGGGGTGCATGGTTGGCAGCGGTGGTGGCGTGTGTAGGTGAGACTGTGAGGCAGATAGTTGGGTTGGAGAGGGGGAAGGGTAGGAGAGAGGGGAGAGGTGAGGAGACGGAAGGGTTAGGAACAGGTGAGGAGCAGTGGAGGTCGGTTCTAAGTGGCTTGTGGTCGTGTGTGGTGGACGAGGTGGCTGCTGCTGTTGACGCGCGCGCTGCTGCTGCTCATCCTCATGCACATGCAGATGGGGATGGGGATGCTGCGAGGAAGGGAAGCATGGGGGAGTGTGAAGTGGCGTTGCTAAGGCGTGCACTGGCAGAGAGCTGTGCTCGTGATGCGGGGTCAAGCAAAACCAAGAGCATCAGCACAGGAGGTGTGGGGAGGAGGGATGGCGAGATGACAGTAATGGGTGAAGGCAGCACAGTGCGTGCCGTGCTGGCGTTGCTGCAGCAGCTCAAGCAGACAGCAGCAGAACCAACTGCAGCCAGGAGAGGAGGAGGACGAGACGAGGGGGGCAGCAGCGAGCGTGGCGAGTGGGTGGTGCCAGTAGCAGTGCTCCCCCTCATGCACCGCCTGCTGCCACTGGCGCTGGTTCTCCCCCTCCCCTCCTCTCCCCTCCCCTCCACTTCTGCCCGCACGGAAGCAGCAGCAGCCGTGGCAGCAGCGCTGGTGGACATGTTTGGCGCAGCGGCCATCCCATGCCAGCTGGCAGCTGATGATTTGCCTGAAAACGCGGGTGCCATGTCAAGCCAAGAGCCTTGTGTTGGCACGGACACTGGTGGCAGGTACACGACCCCGCTGCAGCTCATGGACTCACTGCTGCCGGGCAAGGAGGGTGGGGCAGGAGCGGGTATGAGTGCCTTTGTGAATGGGAGAGCGGCAGCGGCGGTGTTTGTGCTGCAGGTGAAGCTGCTCTCCCACCTCGCCATGCTCCCACCGCCACAAATCAGCAGCAGCAGCGTCAGCAGCACAGGTGGCGACTTGTGTCTGTCGCCCATAGTGCACCAGCTGAGCTCCGCTGCTCTCCAACAGGCACGGCAGGGAGAGGCGCAGGTTGACGAGGCAGCTGGGGATGCAGGCGCACGGCCCAACATGCCTGCCTGCCTGCTGGCCGGCCTGCTCTCCTCGCTCTCCTCCGCCCCATCCACCACCCCCGCTCTCACACCGTCCGCCCATCCCTCCGCCACCGCCCCCTCCTCTCACCTCACCTCCACGGCTCGCTCCGCCCTTGACCACTTGGCTCTGCACGTGGCTGCTACGAGGCCACTGTTGCTCCTCCCTTCCTCCCAGTGGCTGCTCCGAACGCTCCTCTCCCTGCCTCCTGCTGCCTCCGCCTCCCCCTCACTCCTCTCCCCACCCTCCTGGCTGTCGCCCTCCTGTCTCCCCTCGCTCTACGCCTCCCTGCACTCGCACCTCCTCTCCTCCCTCCTCGCCCTCTCCTCCTCCCCCTCCTTCCACACTTTCAGCCACATGCTGCAGCCACTGCTGCCGCTGCTGAGGCGAGAAGAGGGCAGGGAGAGGGAGCAGGTGGAGGCAGCATCACCAGAAACAGAAGACTCAGGAGGAGGTTGTGAGGGAGATGCCACGTCATCACAGGCTGAGCTGGCAGCATGCCTGGACGTCCTGGAGCCCTTGTGGCTCTCCACCCATGCCTCTGCCAGCAGTGCAGGCTCTGCTGAGCTGTCACGTGGTGATTGGCTGGTGGTGGCTGCTGCATGCTCTTCTTATCTTGTAAGCTGGTGCGTGGGAGGGGGGGAGCAAGGCAGGGAAGAGCAGGAGGGGAGCGAAGAGGGAAGTGAAGAGGAGGAGGCGGAAGCGAAGGAGGAGGAGGAAGAGGGAGAGGGAGAGGAGGGGTTGGAGTTGGAGGAGGAGGAAGAGGAGGGAGGAGTGGGCGCGTCCATGGAGGGGTGCATGGTGAGGGTTCTGGGAGGGGGCGGAGCAGCAGCAGCAGCAGGAGGAGGGGAAGCAGCAGGTGCAGCGGCAAGGGATGCGGGGGCTGGTGGAGCAGTGGCTGAGGGAGGAACTCAACTGGCAGTGCACCAATCCGGGGGTGCTGACGTGGCAGGGCCTGTGGCAGTAATGGTGTTACCGGCTCTGCGTGCTGCAGCCACACGTTGGAGCTCGCTCGTCTCCCCCCGTCCCTCCACCGATCACCCTACTCATGCACCATTGGTGGCCCTCACTGCACGCCTGCTCACTCGCTCCCTCGCTTTCGCTGCTGCATCTCCTCTCTCCCACTGCCACCCGCACCTCTGTGCACGCTGGGTGGCAGATCTTGTCCGTTTCTACCAGTTGCAAGGCGGGAAGGAGGCGGCGGAGAGGCGTGTGATTGGCTGGTTGCTGGCAGACCTTGAGGTGGTGTGCGTGGAGCAGAAGGCATGGCCTCGATTTGTGTGTTGTGTCACAAAATCTCGGGACAGCGACACGGGGAATAGCCACATTGACAGCTTCATGAATGCTCTGCTGTTCCCCCTCGCTCATCAGCAACCAGACAGGTCAGCCTCGCACCCTCTTCCTGCTCATCCCTCTCCCTCACCCTCCACTTCTCCCCCACACCTCCCCTCCTCCCGTATCCTTCACCTCCTCTCTCATCTCACTCACCGCCTCAGCGCTGCCTCCATCTTCTTCTGCGCGGCGGGCGGCGGGCGGGCGGCACTGGCAGTTGAGATGATGTGCGCGTGGCAGGAGGAGCATTCGCACCGCCACCACCGTCACTCTACTGGCATGCAACATGGCAGCCTCTCATTGGGCGGTGCCGAGGGTGCTTTGGTGGGGATTGGGCCGGCGGTGGTGGTGGAGGTGCTGGTGCGCGCTTCAAGGCGGGTGGGGGAGCAGGGGGAGCAGGGGGAGAGGGAAGTTGAGGAAGAGGAGAGGGTTGGGGGAGGGGAAGCAGAGGGGGCAGAGGACACAGGAGGGGCGGTGGGCAGCAGGGAGGGAAGGTTTGTGACTGAGGTGCTTGGGCTCCTGGTGGGATTCGCGGCACAGGAGAGGGACCTGGCCCGTGGCAGCAGTGCCGCCACTACTGCCACTGCCACGAGAGCATCGCTGGTTCTGACGGCACTCTGCGGGCTTCTCAGAAAATGCCTCGCAGCAGGGGTGTGGGCCCCACGTCAGGCGTGGCAGGTGGTGCAGCAGCAGCTGGCAGCAGTGAGGGCGGAGAGGGAGGGCAGCGGCAGCTCCGCACGTGGGGATGGTGTGAACGCCAGTGGGCAGGTGCGAGTGGTGGCAGAGGTGGCGGGCATACTGATGCCTGCAGTGCGCTGGGGCGGGCAGGCAGGCGGGGGCCACGAGGCAGGGGGAGGTGCAGCAGAGGGCGGGGGGGGCGGAAGCAGAGGGGCGCTGCAGCAGCAGGTGGAGGAGGAGGTGGTGTGGTGGGTGCAACAAGCCAATGAGGCGCTGCCACTTGTCGCGTGTGTGGAACAGCAGAGTGTGGAAGCTAGAGGTGAGAAAGATTCTTTTCTTTAGGGCCTCCGATAGTCTTTCAAAGGTGGCCATTGCATGTAGCACACATACCCACATGGGGATGGGCTTCCCAGGGTCATTTTTTGTTCTTTTTTCCTCTCACCACTTTCCCTCCATTCCGTCCCCCTCCTCCCCTCTCCCCCTCCTCCCCTCTACCCCTCCTCAACCGCGAGCAGACTCTCTTGACCTGCACGCCCTTGCCGTGGCGCTCTTCCCCATCCCACCATCGTCCAACTCCTCCACTTCTCTCGAGGCCCAGTCGCCCTCCGCCTCTCCCCTCACCTGCAGCCCCTCCCAGCGCGCTGCCCTGCTCGCGCTGCTGCGCCTGCAGTCGTCCCGCCACGCCACGGCTGCCATTGCTGCCGCAGCCGCCTCCGCGCGCCTCTCCGCTGCTGCTCGGGCGAGCAGCGTGGGTCCCATGGCAGCAGCTGCAGCGCCCGGCAGGGCGAGCAGTGCAGGGGGTGCATGTGCGGACGTGGGGGAGGTGAACGAGCTGGATGAGCTAGATGAGTTGGATGAGTTGGATGAGGTGGACGAGGGTGGGGGAAGCGGTGATGGCGGTGGTGGCGCCATTGGAGTTGACGACCTTGATGAGCTAGATGAGCTTGATGAAGAGGAGGGAGGAGCTGGGAGGGGTGGGAGGGTGGAGCAAGCGCAGAGCAGCGCTGCTGTTGCAGCTACTGACTCATTGCAACAGCAGCCGGGGGCAGAGGCGGTGCAGGAGGGTGGGCAGGAGAGCCGGGAGAGGTGGGTGGCGCAGGTGGATCGCTGCCTGCTCGCGCTCGCCAGCTCAGCAGTGGCGTACAGCTGGCAGGAGATGTCAGAAGCTGACGTGGCATTCGTGGGTGGCAGGCTGCGGCGGGCTCTTGCAGCGGCAGCCATGGCGTTTGAGGAGGTGGTGGAGGGGATGGGAGAGCACGAGGCAGAGGGGGAGAGCGGAGTCGCAGACGGGGGAGCAGGTGACGACAAGGAGAGGGTGAGTGGCATGGCGGGTCGACTGGGTGGCATGTCGCTGGAAGTGGCTGCTGCTGCTCTCGCCCTGCTCTCCATGCTGCTCGCCCTCCACTCCCACGCCACCGCCACAACTGCCGCATCCACTGGCAGCAGTATATTCCCCCTGTGGTCGTCAACCTCTGCATCCTTGCCGTCCCTGTGGGCGTGTGAGGCATGTGCGTTGGTGATAAGGCAGGGGTCGGAGCATGCCCTGCGCATGTTCATTGCCACGGGCCTGGCAGAGGCAGCACAGCCTCACATGCCACACCCCTCAGCAGTATCCACCACCACCACCACCACCGCCACCACCGCTGCCACCACCGCCACCACCACCGCTGTCAGCATCGCTCAGAGCCAGCCTATGACAGCGTGGCGCCTGCAGCATCCACTCTTCTTCCGCCAGCTGTCGCACGCAGTGCTTGCTGCCACGCCCCGGGCTGTGGAAGCAGCGGTGCGGGCAGCAGAGGTCTGGGGGGCGGGGCGAGGGCCAATCGCAGGGCTGTACGCCCTTGTGTGTGGCCCATCGCCAGGTGGCAGTGTGCGATTGGCTGCATTCTGGTGTCTGTCCAGGGAGCAGGTATTGCCTGCTGCTGTGGGAGCGGGGGTGGTGAAGGGCGGAGGGGACGGGGAGAAGCATGCGGAGGCAGCTGCTGATGGTGTCAGATCCGAGCTGGCACAGATTCTGCAGCCAGCCAATCGGAAGGAGCTGCTGACATCAGCTCTGACGTCACCACTGCGAGTACGTTTCTTCCTGGCAGCATGTCTTGTGCTGCACCGCATCCACACCCTCCCCGCCTCGCCCTCCCCTCCCTCCACCTCAGCCCCCTCTGCCTCGTCGCCCTCCTCTCCTCTGGACCGCCTGCGCGCCTTTATGCAGGCCACTCCCACGCTCACTCTGCTCCTCGACCTGCTCTCCCAGAACCTCCTCCTCGCCCCCTCCCCCTCACCCTCCTCCGCCTCTGCCCGTCGCCTCATTCATCTCAACCCCTCGGGGCCCCTCCCCCCTGCCGTCGCTCAAGCTGGTGATTCCGCCACGCGGGCCGTTGCCCAGGCGTCCCCTCTGGACGTGGCTCTGGAGATTTTAACCCTGCCCGGGGCAGCCAAACTGTCTGTGCCTCGCATGCGCAGCCTGGCAGCAGCAGTGTTTGGGGCGGCCCTGCGGGTGCTGCCAGGAGGTGTGCGGCGGTGGTTTGCGGATGTGAGGGAGAAGGGCGTGCGGCGGGGCATGGAGATCTTCACGGCCAGATACTGCAGCGCCCACATGATCGCTCTCGAACTCGCACAGGTACGCGATCGCTCCTCTTCCACTCCCATCATCCCATGGATCCAAACCTTGTATGCCATTTGTGCTGCTGAAGAACAATCTCCAACTATGCGCTTCCGTCGTATTTCTGAGTCTATCCATCCGCAAACCCATCCTTTTCCGGTGCTCCCCCCACCAGGCACAGAAGGCAGGGAGCAGCAAGGAGGATCTCACGGTGCGCACGCGGCGCGCTGCGCGGGAGGTGTGTGCGGCGTACTGCAAGGATGAGGCCAAGCTGGAGCTCGTCATCAAGCTGCCCGACAGCTACCCTCTGCGAGGGGCAACTGTCGAAAGCTCCAAAGGGGCAGGCGTGAAAGAAGCTGAGATGCGCAAGTGGCTGCTGGCTGCCAACTCGTTCTTGCTGGTGGGAGGGGGGTCAGTGGCAGACGCGGTGCTGCAGTGGTGTGAGTGTGCTGAAAAGAAGTTTGAAGGGGTGGAGGAGTGCCCCATCTGCTACAGTGTGATCCACTCGTCCAATGGCAGCCTGCCACGTCTGCAGTGCCGCACGTGCAAGCACAAGTTTCATCCGGAGTGCCTGTACCAGTGGTTCCAATCCTCCCACAAGTCCACCTGCCCGCTTTGCCAGACATCCTTCTAGAGGAGGAGCCCCCGTGTGCATGACTTGGCTGGGAGTCAGTCGCTTTGAAGCGAGCTTTGCCTGCTCCTTCGACAGGTTGCTCAGCCATTCCGAAGCACACTATTTAGTAAATTCTCCGGGCAAATGACGTAGGCTTTAGGAATGTCATACGGTATTCGTCTATGGGTTACACAGAGGAAATGTTGAACATACAAGCAAGAACTCTTGAGAACGCACCAGCTGATGTTACATATTTACAGACACCTCCAGCGTGGCACGAGGGTTGCCCTACCAGACTCTACCCATAGCACGACCTGCAATGCTCCTCATCACCTGGCCAGGTTGCTTCAGGTAGAAGGCGAGAAGAGCATCTGGAACTGCTTCACCTTCTGAACGTAGTTCACCATGGCGACCTCAATGCTAAGACCTGCAGGCAACGAAAGTACGAGTTAGTTGAGGCACTGAATGCCAACCCGGTGGTTAATGGATGTTGCCTCCGTGCGTGAATCCGCAGAGGCTCCCCTGTTCAGCGGTCTCGTTCTGGCAATGCAATGCAAGCTGACCTGCGAAATCCCGCCATGCCTGAAGCCTCTCTTGATCATCAGTGTCCACGTCTTCTGGTGCACCTGCAGGCCAACCCTCGATAACGTCAGCTTCGTTACTAGCAACCAACGGAAGAGCATCATAAACGGCAAGATATAGGAGTTGACGACGGCACATGAAGACGAAACGACAGGTCGGCCTTAAAGTGAGTGACCTTGACGCCGTAGAACGTGAGCTTCATTTGCAAAGTGAATGACGTGCTCACACGACGTTATGCTGCCTGCAGTCGCTTGCTTGTACAGCCCGTAGAGAACCAACTGGTATGGCTCCGGCAGCACGGGATTCAGCAGCTTAGCCGCCTCGACAGAAGCAAGGAAATCTGCCTGAAAGGATGAATGCACGCAATTAATTACCCCATGCCGCGCGGTAGGGACAGACGGGACCAAAATGGCCTTATACTGCGAAGCAGGCATCATGCAGTAAACACTACCCCGAGGCTCAGGTCGCATGCTGCCTCCGTGAATGGCTCAGCGCGACAAGCTAATGCATGGGGAACTGCAGGCGACTCCCATCGCTCGCGCACGTATGCTGCCATGCGCACAATCTGATCTCTGAACTCCTCAACCTAGTTCCAACCTAGTTCCAAGCATTAGTGAAGTTGACCTTCAATCTCCCTGATCTCTGAGCGAGCATTCCCTGGGGCAAAGAAGCGGGGGGCGACATGGTAGCAGCAGGACACGCACTCCAGGAGTTGTAGCTTTCGAGGTGGGAGGCAGCCTGCCATTCTCGCGTGTGGGCTTGTGCTGAGTGGCGGGAAAATGTGTGTCTGCAATACTGGCTCGGCTGGGACACCTCGAAAGCAACGGAATGATGCAATGTGAATTTTGTAGTACATGTTATTAGCATAATCTAAGCAAAACAAATTTATGATTTATGAGATGAGCTTAGTTGAAATAACACTCCTCTTGCTTGTGATTATGTTGCAATTCTCAAAACAGAATGAATGATTGAGTAGGGAGAGATTACAAGAGAATATACCTAAGTGTTGTACCCTCTAAGAGTCCCTATACAGTCTATGCAAACATTAGAGATACACATGTTTGACACACCCCCTAGACTGCATAGGGGCAGGTCCTGAACAAGCAGCTCAGGGCGGCACTACTAGTCCAGCCACTGAGACAAGGGTCTAAAGACCAGTCAAAAGGAGTACAGGCAAGGCAAGAACAAGACCACGGCGGCACTACTAGTCCAGCCACTGGGAGAGGACACAAGTCCAGTCTGAGTACGTATAGATATATAGGACAGTACAAAGTCAATGCCCTAGCAAGTGAGAGGCTACACAAACTAGACCGAGCTGTACATAGTGCCGCTGATGATCTTTAGGCGCAAGCACCTTCGTAAAGATATCACCTGTGTTGGCACCGGAGGCCAAGTATACTACGCGAGCATGGCGGCGCTGCTGTAGCTCGCGCAGGAGGAAGTACCGCAACTGGATATGCTTCGCTCTGCCCTCGAGTCGAGGCTCCTGACACAGGAGGATCATGGCCCTGTTGTCAGCGAACAGGACCGAGGCAGAGCTAGGCCGCTCACCTAAGTCAGTGAGCAAGAAGGTCAGCCAGCGGAGCTCCTGAGCTACCATGGCACCAGCGTAGATCTTGGCCTCACAGCTGGACTGGGCAACAGACGAGGAGCGGGTAGCTCTCCACGAGACGGCACCTGAACCAAGGCTGAAGCAGTAGCCCTGGGAAGTCTTGAGTGTCTCGGCGTCGTCTGCCCAAGAAGCGTCTGTGTGTCCAGTAAGGACCACTGGTCTGCGACCTCCTAGCACTAATCCCATGCCCGATGTACTTGCAAGATATCGCAAAACCCTCTTAGCGGCAGCCCAGTGCTGTGGTCGGTGTCTACCTTTGGCCACAAAGCGAGCTAGGATGCTGAGAAGGTATGCGAGATCTGGGCGAGTGCAAGTCATCAGGTACATGAGGCAACCCACCACCTCAGCATAAGGACCACTGGGCTCTACTGACTCCTCAGGAACTGGAGCGGAGAGTCTGTGGTCTACAGGAAGACGGGTGGGCTGTGCAGAGGAGAACTGAAGGCCGAACCTCTTAAGGACCTGGCGCACCAAGTCTGACTGAGTCAAGGTGATCGTGCGCGCTGCTCTGTCCCTGGAGATCTGCAAGCTAAGGTAACGGCGCAGTTCTCCAAGGTCAGTGCAAGTGTGTCTCTTCAGCAGCTCTGCCTTTACCGAGGCCAGTGCGTCCCTGTCTGCTGTGGCAAAGACCAGATCGTCCACGTAAACAAGGATGTAGAACGGAGTCTGGCCAGCACGAACGAAGAGTGAGGGGTCTGCAGAGGACGAAAAGAACTGCAGGTCAGCAAGGGTAGCACGCAGTGTGTCGTGCCACTCACGGGGAGCCTGTCGCAGGCCGTAGACGGGAGGCCGCAGGAGCCACTGGGTCCTAGGAGGGAAAGTGCCAGTAAAGCCCTGAGGGCGACGCAGGTAGACCTGCTCGTGTAGGCTGCCCTCAAGGAAGGCAAGGGAGAAGTCGAGGGAGTGAAGCTCGTAGTCACGCTGAGCTGCTGGGTATAGCAGAACCCAAAGAGTAGTCATCTTCGGGATCGGAGCGAAGGTCTGGAAGAAGTCCACCCCCTCACGCTGACTGAAACCTCTAGCCACGTAGCGCGCCTTGAACGCAGGCGGCTCTCCAGGAGGGCGCTTCACCTTGAAGAGCCAGCGGCCATCGACTATGTTCACCCCGGGCCGGGGAACTGCGTCGACGAAGGTGCCGGTGGATCTCCAAGATGCCATCTCCTGCTCCATGGCAGCTATCCACTGGGAGGCCCAGGGTCCCGAGGTCGCCTCAGCGTAAGTGCGAGGGGTCGGGATGTCGAAAGCGTCTGGGTCACCCTCAGGGACTAGCAACATGGAACAGAGATGGGGAGCAGCCTCGGACAGGAAAGCAAGCTCGAACTGGCGGTCCTCCAGGACGTCAGTGCCGAGGGCAGGAGCACCCCCAACAGACGGAGGACATGCAAGGTCAGAGAGCAGAGCTGTGGCGTAGTCAAGGCGGCGGGTAGAGGCGAAGTCAGCGACCGCAGCGACAAGGGCGTCAAGACTCGAAACCGGAACAGACGGGTCAGTAACGAGAGAGGCAAGGACTCGAGGAACAAGAGGACGGGCGGCACGCAGGTAATCAGACAGAGGGGGGGGGGAGCAACGACAAGGGAGGACGGAGGGGGCAACGGGAGGAGGGGAGGACGAGATGCGTGAGAACGAAGCAACATAGGGTGAGAGCGCGAGACAGGAGAGACAGGTCGAGCACGGGAGGGACGGTGAGACCAGACGTGAGACGGAGGAGTCCGGTCAGGAGACAGAAGAGGGGACACAAGGGGGGAGCGAGGGGGAAGACGAGCCGAGAACGAGTCCAGCGGAGGGAACACAGGGCCGTAGACGGGAAGAGGAGGAGAAGGCGGGAGATGAACAGACGCAGGGTCGGGGACGGAAGGCCGAGCAGGCGAAGGGCTGACACCGGCGGGGACTGCTGCTGCGGCGGTACAACACCGACCCCGGGACCGCAAGCTGCTCCTCGGCTCCTCGGCTACTGCGGGTGGTAGAAGTGCCAGTCGGACGCATCAAGGGGGAAACCTAGGAAGACGCAGTGAAGGGTGCGGGCAGTGAGCTTGTCCGTGCCAGAGGCACGAACGTGAGCAAGGCAGCCCCAGACGTGGAACGCAGACGCGTCACCAGGAGACCCGGTCCAAAGAAGGGTCGGCGAAACCTGCGGCTGCTGGGGGTGCGGGCACAGGTTAAGCTGGTGAGCAGCGTAGCGCACGGCGAACGGCCACAGAAAATAAGGTGCACCGGCATGGATCATGGAGGCCCGAGCCACCTCCATGACCAAACCGATGCGTCGCTCAGCGACGACCCCATTCTGCTGTTGGGAGTCCGGTAGGGTGAATGTCTGGGTGATGCCCTCCGCACGACAGAAGCGACCAAGGACACCTGAGGCAAATTCGCCACCACGGTCGGAGTGAAGACGCAAAACAAGGAGACCTCGGTGGACACGGGCAGAGACAAGCCCGGGGATGAGAGCGTCAGGCACGTCGGCCTTGCGCTCCAGGGGGAAGACTGTGGTGTAGCGAGTGAAGTCGACGACAAGCACGAGGAAGTAGCGCTCTCGACGCGGCCCATGGACGGGGGCGGGGCCCCAGACGTCCATCTGCAGGGTCTGCAACGGCGCGGCGGTAGGGGGAAACGAGGAGGAGTGAGGGGCACGACGAAGCCGACCCTCGATACAAGGCGTGCAAGGTGGGGCGGGGGAGGAGGGAAAAGCTGGGAACGAACCAGGGAGACCAAGGACGAGGCATTGCTGGGACATGTGACGCAGACGCGGGAGCGCAGGGTGACCTAGGCGGTGGTGCCACATGAGAGTCGGGTGAGTGAGGGGCCGACAGGAGCAGGCAGCAGCAACCTGGGTAGACGCAGCGACCTGAAGGGGCGCCCCAGCCGGGGGGGTTACGGTGTCCAGGGTGAACAGGCCGGACACCGGGTCCCGGGGGAACGTGGACAGGGGGGCACCAGTGGTGGCCTTGGTACAGACAGCATACCGCTCGTGACCAGGGAACGTAGTGGTGACGCTAAGGTCCTGGAGGCAGCCGACACCAACTAGGTTCCTGGAGAACGAGGGGATATGCAGGCCTGTAAGAGAGCCCGAAGGAACCGCCGGACAGGGAAGGGTGGTGGAACTGCGGGCGACTACTGGACTGCCGTAGGGGTCAGCAAGAGAAACTGCAGCAGGAACAGGAAGCGGTGTCAGCGTAGTGGAGTCGCGGAAGAAACACCGGGAAGCGCTAGAGTCCAAGGTGAAGGAAAGCGAAGCCGTGCCGTCTGGGGACGGGGCGACGGCGGAAGCACCAAGGTTAAACAAAGCAGGATCTCCTACGCCTGACGCAGCAGGGGAGGCTAAGCTAGGCACACCTATACTAGACGACACGGAGTAATAAGAGGGGAGCACACTAGAGTCATCAGCATACATCACATGCAGGGCAGAAACAATGGCATCCATGTTCATGTAAAAAAACTGAACTCTACGACTAAGCAAACTGTGCCAGTCCGGAAGGTCGGGCGACGGGCCGAAGCGCTGACGAAACAGGTCGTCCAGGCGACGAAAACAGCGGGCAGTGGCGTGACCGATCTTACCGCAAACGAAGCCGCGGCGAGGACCGGTCTGGATCTGGTACTGACAGCGCACGCCTCCCGAACTGCCACCCGGCACACCACCACGCGCACGACCACCACCAGTGCCAGGCCACCTGGGCAGGAGGGCACTCGCCTGTCTCGTCTGCGGTGGCTGGTGCGGCTGGTGCGGCTGCTGCTGCTGCTGCTGCTGGGGCGGCTGCTCAGCTGGACCGGGCAGGGTCCCCTCGTCCGCTCCACCACCAGACGACCCGACTCCACCACCACCTCCACCTGCGCCCCCACCTCCTCCGCCGTGCCCAGCCTTGGGGCGGCGGCCCTTCCCCAGACGGAACTGCACTGCAGCGGCGGTCTCAGCCACAGCTGCAGAACCATCGGAGAAGGTGCACTGAGCGGGGGCACAACCTTGAAGATAGGGACCGGCACAGTACCGCTCGCCTGGGCGATAGAGCGGTGGCGGGTCTCAATAACAGTCAGGGTGTCTACAAAGTCTGTGAGGGTGAGGTCACTGGGGTGAATGCGAAGGAAGCGGTCACGAGCAGCGGCAAGGCGGTCAGGGAGGCGGGTGGCAAGCAGGTAGAGGGTAGAGGTAAGGAGCGGCTGGTGGGCTCTAAGCTGTGCGTCAGTGCAGGCAGCGCGCCAGGTCTCATCTATCGTGCGCAGGTGGGCAGCCAGGTCAGCGACAGTGGGGAAAGAAGCAAGGTCAGGAAAGAGCATCGGTAGGATCAGGCGACCCACCGAGGCAGCAGGCAGGGCGGAATAGCGCCGGAAAACAGCATCTAAGAAAGCTTGGGCGGTGGTGATAGACCTAAATCGAGGGCGCTCAGACGGGGGGAGGACATTGCTAATAGCAAGCTGTGCGACAGCGTCACGGGAAAGCCAGACAGAGCGAGCGAGGGCAGCGGCCGCAGTAGACTCGCGCTCAGCAGGTGTGGGGTCAGCGGGAAGCACAGCAGGGGGGTCTGGGCAGGGAAGCGTACCATCAAGGTGTGTCGAGAGCAAGTGGCCATCTTGCCGCTGACCAGTGAGGTGGCGGCGGAGGTCGGCTAGCCACGCCTCGAACTCCAGAGGCTGGCCTTCAGCGTCGAAACGAAGCTCCGCCGCCATCAGGAACAGTGTAGGGCAGGGCTAGGTGAGGCACTGTAGCGCGGTACAGTGCAGTGCGATACAGCGCGGTGCAGTGCGGTACAGTGCGGTGCAGCGCGGTGCCGTGCGGTGTAGTGGGGTGCAGTGTAGTGAAAGGGATGGAGAACAGTACCAGGGAGGGTGCAGTGCAGTAGCAGGCACGAAGAGCGGGCCGCACGCAGATCGGCAGCAGTCCGGCAGGAAGGTGAGCACGGGGGCCGGAGGTCGACGGGCAGGGCGCGAGCAGGGTCGGCAGAACGGGCGCGGGGGCCAGTAGCGGCGGGCGCCGGACCGGCGAGGACGGGCGCGGGGGCCAGGTAGGACGGGCGCGGGGCCGGCTGGGACGGGCCTGGGACGGGCGCAGGGCCGGCTAGGACGGGCGCGGGGGCCTGTAGGACGGGCGCGGGGGCCGGCTAGGACGGGAGCGGGAGCCAGTAGGACAGGCGCGGGGGCCACTAGGACGGGCGCGGGGCCGGCTAGGCGGGCGCGGGAGCCGGTAGGACGGGCGCGGGGGGCCGCTAGGACGGGCGCGGGGCCGGCTAGGACGGGCGCGGGAGCCGGTAGGACGGGCGCAGGGGCCGCTAGGACAGGCGCGGGGCCGGCTAGGACGGGCGCGGGGGCCGTTAGGACGGGCACGGGGGGCGGTAGGATAGGCGCGGGGCCGGCTAGGACGGGCGCGGGGGCCGCGAGGACGGGCGCGGGGCCAGTTAGGACGGGTGCGGGGGGGGGGGGGGGGGGGGCGTTAGGACGGGCGCGGGGTCGGCTAGGACGGGCGCGAGGGCCGGCTAGGACGGGCGCGAGGTCCCGCTAGGACGGGCACGGGGGGGGCCGGTAGGACGGGCGCGCGGGCGCGGCTAGGTCGGGCGGCTTGGACGGGCGGCTAGGACGGGCGGCTAGGGCGCGGCTAGGTCCTAGAGCGGAAGCGTGGGCGGGGGCGGGACCTACCTACTGCTGATACCATCTCAAAACTGAATGAATGATTGAGTAGGGAGAGAGTACAAGAGAATGTACCTAAGTGTTGTACCCTCTAAGAGGTGACCCTATACAGCCTATGCAGATATTAGAGATACACATGTTTGACAGCAATTACTAGTGCACAGTTTCTACTTGGCTTCAAGGGCTGGCATACAGTCTTTATAATATTGAGCATTTCAAAAAGGTGGTGGTATATACTTGGATTACATGACATATTATAGTGGGGTAGCCAAATTGGGCTCATTCCCACGGCCATCAGAAGATACTGGGACATGGTCAGAATTGATGTGACCCGTGGCTTTCCAGCACGGGCCGCACAAACAAAATTATTCCATCTACTGCAAGCACCGGTGCTTACGCACACACAGACACATGTGTGCTCTCAATGCATGCACACTCACACGCAAGCCACACACGAACACACACACACACAACACACACACAACACACACACACACAACACACACACACATCTACACTAGGACATCAGTCAATGAGAGAGAACTTAACACGCCTCCCTGATATCCTTGGGTCTTGCAGCAATCCAGGGGACTTGGGTGGTTTGGCGCCGTAGTCCAAGACGGAGGAGTAACTTCCAACACTACTGAGACTACTGCTGCTGTAACCACCTGTGCTGTTACTTCGAGGGCTCCGTGATGGGGGCGAATTAGCACTGGTTCGCGGGCTCACCCCTGTACCGGTGCTCTCAGAGACCCATAGTCCACTCGCGCGTTCGTTCGGCGAGGTGACGTTGCCCGGAGACGGAAGACCGTATTCCCCCACGCTCGCGGAGTGCGTAAGTCCGCTCGGCGCGTGCTCTCGCGCCCTGCTAGCGAACGCGCCGAGGTCACTCTCGGACCGACAGGAGCCCATCCAACGTCCACCAGAAGCACCGTTCTTAGTGCTGCCGTTGCTCCTGCTCCCCCCCTGCTTGCTTGGCTGCTGATTTGCTACTCCCCCGTTGCTGGACTTGGCCTCCATGCTGCTTCGCGTGCTGTTGAGGCAGCTACACGTGCTGTTCATGCTCACGCTCCTTAGAAGCACACCATCAGGAGTCACACGCTGATGCTGCACGTGCTGATGCTGCCACCCGCCCATCATCTCCGCTTGCTTCTGCAGCTTGCTCCACTCGCTCTGCGCGTCGTGCGACGCCCGCTCCGCCGCGTCTCTCGCCATCCGCTCCTTATCTTTCCTCAGCGCCTCCCGCTCGCGCTTCATCTCCTCGCGCTCCCGCCTCACCTCCTCCCTCTCCCTCCCCACCGCCTCTCTTTCTTCCGCTAACGCCGCTCGCGCCCGCTCCAGCGACGCGCGAGATCTCTCCGTCGACGCGCGTTCCTCCTCCTGCTTCGCCGTCGCCGCCTCGTCGGCTTGCGACCACGCGTTAAGCATCTCCTCCAGCTCCTTCGCCACGTGGTCCCGCTCTGATGCTGCCGCCTGGGCCGCTGCTGTGGCCTCCGCCGCTGTGCGCTCCGCTGAGCGCAAAGATTCTGGAGGGAGAAGAGCGAGAAGACCGAGAGCAATCGGCACAGGTAAAGAAGGGTAAGAAACCAGTCGAAGAGAATCGCACAACAATGAGACTCAAAATCACTACTTGTGGTTGTCGACAATGGAAAGACAAGCGAAATGCTCGACGGCTTGCTAGCTTCGAGTCGTCGAGCGATGGAGGTGAGTGCGGCGAGCGCATGGCGTGACTCACCGGTGAGCCACTTGTTGATGCGCGCGCACCGCTCCAGCTGCTTCCTCAGCTCATTGATCTCGCGTCCCAGCCGTCTTATCGACACCGACCCGTCGGAACTCTCCTCCTCGGCGTCCGTCGCTCCATCTGGGCCCGTCGTCGCGCTGGCATCATTGTCGTCTTCGTTCAAGCGGCTTTTGCGGGGCTGAGAGCGTTCCAACGGCTCCGACGCCCCGACGCGCGACAGATATCGGCCTCGAGACGACCCGTTCCGCTGGTTCCCAAAGGGAGAGGAAGCGGGGGAAGCGGGGGAGGTTGGGGTTGTCACATCCGCACCCACGTGCTCGCTTATGCTGCGGAACATAGCCGCCCCGCCGCCCTGCCTACGGCTCTTCCCCTCGCGACCCGCCTCGGCCTCTTGGAGAGGAAACTCGCCCGTCCAGTCGTCGCCACGACCGCGCGTTCCCGCGTTCTTTACGCCGAGCCTCCCGCTGCTTCCTCGCGGCGTATTTTTATCCGGGGTGCCGAGCCTCTGCGTCGCCGCGTCCACCGCTCCGCCGCTGTCGCCCACCAGGAGCCGCATCGCGAGGCGCCTCGGGACGTCTCGAGGCGAGGCGAATCCGCGACTGGAATCGGCGTCGCAAGGGATCTCAAGGGAACGGCGGCCGGTGCGCATGGCGGACGGAGTGCTACTATTGGATGAGGACATTGGGGAGAGGGTGCTGCGTGGGGAGTGGCGAGGGGGGAGGGCCGAGAAGGACGCGTCGTTCTCAGCGAGAGTTTCGACGAAGCGGGAGAGAGAGTCGGCGAGGAACGAATCGGTGGACGGCGACTTGTGATGCGACCTGGGCCGGCTGGGGAAGGGGGAACGACGATCTACGGTGGCCATGACCGGGACCCAAATGACTAGCCGAGTCGTCCCAACGGCAACCAAGGGGGCTCAAGGAGAGCACCGAACGGTGGATCAGTGGATGTGCGTCTGCTAGAAAAGGCACACCAATTGGGGAGGAAAAGGGACACTTTCTGAAACGAAACAGCAGATGTAGGTACTGTAATGGTGCAGCTCGCGGAAATGCTGCTGAACTATGCCCAGAGCCCGTCGCAAGAGATGTATGTCAGATTTTCGTACTGTGCTTCTTTTCACAGTATCTTATGCTGTGTGATTCTGATGCCTCCTGAGGGAACCAAAACAGGGGACTGTGACTGTGGCTCCGTGGTTCACGCGTAAGGGCGGGGATTTGCGGGGAGGGATGTGGAAACCGGAGAGCCGAATTTCCCATGGGACAGGAAGGGGTGGCGCGAGCCACAGAATGCGGATTGCATCTGCGTTTCGAGGAACATCCACAATGCATGCAGCAGCAGCTGCCACTCCGATGCTTGCCATCTGTATGCAACGACTCGTCTACTGCACTGTGGAGGCACGCCTCGCGCCTCCGTCGCTCCCCTTCCGCTTCGTAGATGCGTTTCGATCGATCCCTTCACCCTGCCTCCCTCCCTCGCTTATTTCCGACCTTCCCCCTCCCCTCCCCTCCCCCTCCAAACTCCTTGGGATTCCTTAAGGACTAGAGCCGTGTACCGCGGGGTAACGTGCTTTACCACGCTGTAACAGACTTCAGCCTCTCCCAACCATTCATCAATGTGGTCGGACAGAATGCTACATTTCCCCAGATGCATTCTATTTGGTAGTCGTGCTGTTTCACAAAAAAACGGGATGGGGATGGGTTATACACCACTACGGACAGATCTACTACAGGTGCACTTCGTACGGAATCAAAGATAAGTAGCCCCTAATCCCAAGGAATCTGACTAGGCCTAATCTGTTACGAAGACGAAATCATAACAACTCCGCTAGGCCAAAACCGGAATCAGGTAGAAACAACTCTTAATTTCTTAACATTTAGGGATATTACCCTGTTAGCCATAGCTGTAAGTCACCAACGACATCCGTTTCTCAATTCACTCATTGCTCCTTCGACCAGAAGCCCCAAGCACTCCAGGCCCCTCCGCTTGTTCTCGGGCACCCTGCAAAGTTGGATCATGATAAAACTGTTTGGGGCGTGACGTCAATTTTAGAGGTCACTGAGTAGTACAAAGTGGTTCCTTATGGCGTGTCACTGAAGTACGCGCTATGTTCAACACCGAGTTCAGTTACTAATTTTAGGAACGTAACCCTTTGAAAGCGCCACGAAAGACACGCTCGACCCACAGCCCTAGACAGGGGACCCGCGCGCACATTTCAAGGTCCTGCGAACAAACAAAAGAAAGAACCCCGAAACTCCAGCTGGTGGTTCACACCCAGGACCAGAGCAAGCGAAAGACAAGGCTCGACGAGAATCGTCACGAAATCTCGCATGTCGCCAAGCACAAGCTGGAAAGCCAACTCGACACGGCTTCGCTAGGTGGTATTCCGTTACCCGCCATCCTGCCCAACGAGGCACGGGCCTGTCCTCCCAATTGCGCCCTTGTCGTGGGACCCGTTTCTAGACCAGGCATGTTTGCGAATTCGATTCGCTTTTCGCAACGTCGGACGTCTCGCCGTGTCCAAAACGGCTAAACGATTTCTTGGGGACACGCCCTTACAGTTCTAGAATGGTTGAAACCTCTCTGCTTTGGTAACCTGACGTCACATCGCGGGACGTCAGCCTTTTGTTCGGTTCATGCAAAAGGGTTTCTCTTTTCTGGAGTTGAAAACACGGCAGAGGCACTGAGTACACGCTGCTGCACTGTAACTGCTTTTTGTCGGCCCTCCAGGCTGCGGCGGCGGCCTCCACCACATCCACTTCAACTCCTCCTGTCACGTCAGCAAATATGTCGTTTCGTGCTAACGTGGTTTGGCATCCAGCATGGACTTGGCACAATGCCATTTCTGTGGCGGAAATGAAACCACGTGTCTATAGATCTTCTTTCCCCAGCTGTCGGAAGCGTGTGGGTGCAGCAGCAGTTTTCTCCATGTTCTGCGGCATGTGTCACGGCGCCCAATAGCAAATTAGGAATTTCGTTTCATGCTTTTCAGAAGTGGCTCGTCAACTACCCTGCGGGAAGTTCGTGGCAATCTGATTTTCCGTAGCGACATGTGTGGTGGGCTCAACTTCTCACCCATCGTCCGAAGCATTCACAAGTACGAAGGGATTAGTTAAAGCAAAGATCTCAAGAAGTGCGCAACCAAATCAAAAAGGTTTGATTTAGGGTTAGCGAAACAGGAACACTAGCCCCATGACACCTCTCGCTACACGTCGCAGTTTTCGCGACCCCCCAAAACCAAAACCGGGTTTGGTTTTCTGCTTCTTGAGATCCTTGCTTTAAGGCCTGCAGATTAGCTCATCAATGGCACATCGGCTTTTCATCGGGTTTCGGCTGTACACCCCTCCACGCCAAACTGCATCATTTTTGGGGTAAAGTTTTCAATCCTGTACCAGAAACGTTGTCGTTCGGGTTTTGGAATCAGGATTCTTTGAGAGTGACCTCAGTTCAGTACGGATAACGGAGTTGTCGTATTATGTACAGCATCATCATCGTGCCAGGTAAAAATCAATAAGGGGGCTATCCTTGACACGTGGCAAGGTATCCATTCATTGCCCGAAACTTCCGTTGTCGTTGCAAGTGGACAATTCTAACAATGCCATTTGGCTGTGCATTTTGCTGGCATTTGGTCGGCAGGGAAACTGCCACCATCGATAACCCTGAGGCAGTTGTGTCGCGACACACCACATTTGAGAATTAGATTTTGCACTTGGACGAAATTCAAATGTCCTTGTCGCAAGGCGTCTCTCGCATGTGTGAGTGACTGGACTTCGGCGGTTCGTCGTGTGAAACATGTCATCTGGTGTGCATAATACAAGCGGGCTAGAAAACACGCTGAACGTTTTAAACAAAGTTGCAAAGCACGCAATTTATTATAGGCTTCCAATTAGCAGTTTCGTGCACCAGTATGTGGGATGCAAGGTGCCTCTAGCTGTCCCCAAATCATTCACCGCTCTGGCGGCTCTAGTCACACTATTGACAACTTACAATGGACTGCTGGTCTATGCCTACGTCCTACCTGCCCGACTACTGCCACCGAATCTTCCAAAAAGGCAGGGGAGCTTGTAGTCTTGTCCCTACGACCTTCAAGGCCCATACCAGCTCCTTTCTGCTGCAGTCGTGGCACTGCGCTCCCCCACATCCCTGCTGAGCTGCCAGGCATGGCACTGGCATCAGCAGCATACCTTCCGGCAGCCGACGGAGGCTGGAAAGAGGGGGCAAGGGAGGATGGAGGTCCCAAGGAGGATGGGGACGGGACGAGGGGAAGTGAGGTGGGCTGGCGTTCTCTGTTATCGTCTGCTGAGAAGCCCGGCCCTGATGTTGCTGGATAAGTAAAGGACGAGGATGACGGGGGCGCAAACGCAGCAGATGGAGCCGTGACCCTCGTCTTCACAAACAGGCGTTTCGTCCACTCGAGCCGCTTCTCCTCCTCTTCCTCGTCCTCCTTACCCCCATCTGCATCTACACCCCCCTCCAGAGACGGCTCCCTGCAGGCAGGGAGCAGGCCTGAGCAGGGGGGCATGGGGCAGCACGCCTCCATCTCCACTTCCCCCTCCGCCGCCTCCCCGTCGCCCTGTTTCTCAGGCCACGGCTGCAGGGGCGAGATGCCGGGTGCTGCATTCTCAGAATCCACTACTGCTGCTAGAGGCGCTGCCCCGGGCTCGGCAAGGGACGCTTGAGGTTCAGCACAGTACACCTGAGGTTCGGCATCAGGGCGTTGAGGTTCGGCACGAGGCTCAGCTGGCTCTGCCGCGGCAGCTGCTTCTTCAAGGGCCTTGAGCTGCTGTGCTGATGCCACGCGCTCACTCCATGTCAGCCCTTCCATCGATGCTGCTGCTGCTGGTGTCGCTGCTGGTGTCGCTGCTGGTGTCGCTGCTGGCAGCAATGGCACCAGCATTGCTTCAGATCCCGTGGCAGGAAACCCAGAACCCTCTTCCCTCCTGCCCGTCTCCAAGTCCGCATCTCCCCTCTCACTGTCCACACCACCGCTCTGCAACGCCATCGCCGCTCGCTTCCCAGCCACGTCTCCCCTGGCCCTCCCATTCCCGCCCCCCTCTTCTCCTCCCCCCTCTCTCCCTGCCCCACCCCCCCTCGCCGCTCGAATACAGCCTCCACCAGTCGCACCCCAAACTGCTCCTCCAGTCTTTCCTGCATGCGAGCTAACACCTCCTCCGGCTCCTCCTCCTCCTCATCCACCCCCTCCCCCTCCCCCTCCTCCTCCCACCCTCCTCATCGCCCTCCTCCCCATTCCTTGCACACGCCTCACTCTCCTCCCCCTCCTCCCCCTCCTCTCCCCCCTCCACACTCCATCTCCTCCCCATCTCCTCCTCTTCCCTCTCCCCCACAGTCTCCCCTTCCCTCTCCATGCCCCTTCTGCCCCCTGCTCCCCACTTCGCAGCAGCCATTGCTGCCGCAGAAACGATCCTCCCTGTTGCCCCCTCCCTCTCCCCATCCCTCTCCCTGCTCTTCCTCTCCCTCTGTCCGCCACCCTGCCTCTCCTCCTCAGAAGCGCGCTCAAAGAATCTAATCGCCTCCTCATAGTCATCCTCCCCCACCTCCTCCCCTTCGTCCCCCAACAGCCCCCTCCCAGGCGACCCCCCTCCCCCCCCCTCCTCCCTCGCACCCTCACCCTCCCCCCTCCCCCCTCTCACAAATGGCAGCCAGCCCCACTTGGCCCTCAGAGCGCGGATCTCCTCTGCCCTCTCCCTCCTTGCGGCGGCCCACTCCTCCATCTTCTCGCGCTCCTCCCACCCGCTGCTCGCCTTCTCCCAGTCCCACACGTCCTTCCACACGGCCTCCCTCCTGCCCTTCCGCCTCCCCCCCTCCCTCCGCCGCACCTCCCTGAGCCCCACCTTCTGCGCCCGGCGGCTCCGCTTCTGAAACTCCCTCCCCGCCGCTCGCCCCGTGTACCTGTCCCGTGCAGCGTCGAGGATTTTTTTCACAGGCAGCCCCTCGTGTGCGAGGGTCATGAAGCGGCTCCAGAGCGGTGCTGCGTGGGACGAGCCGGTGCCGGGGTGCAGCCCGCCCACTGGCTTGTTGTCGTCGTATCCCAGCCACACCTGGAGTGTAGAGGGGTGGGGGGTGGTGGGGGAGGGGGTGGGAATTGTGTGTTGGGTGAAAAAAGCAAGGGCGGGTGAGCTCATGCTGGGATGCAGGTCTCCCACTGGTGCTTTGTCACTATTTTCCAGCCAAGGGGGGATAAGGTGGTGCCCAGTGCTGCCCTCCACTCACCACAGATGCTACAAACCCCGCCACTCACCACGCAAGCCAGCTGCTGCATGAAGCCAGCGGACCAGCAGTCCCTGTGCCCATCTGACGTGGTCACAGCACATCAAGAACATCCGCGACGTACCCACACATGACATCCGTTACGGCTAACCCCACCGCTCACCACCCATCACACCCGAGCCCACCACTCACCACGCACGCCAGCTGCGGAGTGAAGCCAGCAAACCAGCAGTCGCGGTGCCCATCCGACGTGCCCGTCTTGCCAGCGCACGGGCGGTCCATGCGGGCGCCCCTGCCCGTGCCGCGCTCCACCACCGCCTGCAGCAGCTTGCGCAGCTCCGTCACCGCCGCCTCGTCCACTACAGGGTCCCTGCGCTCCAAGCAGATCTGTCCGGGGGGGAGGGGTTGGCGGGGGTTTTGCAGGAGAAGGAGAGGCACATGGATCATGCGTGTGCCCCTGCCTTTGCCGCGCTCCACCAAGTGCTGCAGCAGCTTGCGCACCTGGCTCACTGCCTGTTCATCAACCACTGGGTCCTGCCGCTCCATGCAGATCTGTCTAAAAAGGGGGGGGGGGGGGGGGGGGGTTGCAGAGGGCGTGACTATGCAAGAATTCATGTGGGCCCTCTGCCCCGCTGGTATGACTTCAAGGGGAAATGTATGCCCCATGAAGCGGGGTAGAGGGGAGACAGCTCACCTTCGCTTCCTCCAGCACCCACCCGTTGCACGACTCCACGGGGGTGATGAGGTGCGGCCGGTGGTACACGCCGCCCCCAGCGATGGTGCAGTACACGGTGGGCAGCTGCAAGGGTGTCACCTCACACACACCGAGAGACGGCAAGAGATGCCAATGCGGGAGACAGCAGCTCACCTTGGCCTCCTCCAGCACTCTCCCGTTGTACGACTCGACACGGGTAATCAGGTGCGGGCGGTGGTACACGCCCCCGGCAGCGATGGTGCAGTACACGGTGGTGAGCTGCAGGGGAGTCACTTCGCACCCTCCCAGCGACAGCGCCAGCTCGTGCGGTAGAGGGGTCTTGATACCCAGCGCTCGCCCCATGTGGCACACCTGGGGGTTGCCGCCAGGGGGAGGGGGGGGCGGAAGGGGGAAGGGGGGCTTTTGTGTGGATTGCTTGACTATGGTTGTTGCCGGGCGTCTTGATGCCCAGCGCCCGCCTCATGTGGCACACCTGCGTGGACGGGGGGGAGGAAGGGGAGGGGGGAGGTGAGTGTCCGTCCCATCTAAGTGTGCTTAACGTTTGGCACTGTGACTGACATAAGCATTTTGCACTGCACAAAACGGCACACAGCCCAAGAAGCAGCTCACCTTGTGAACACCGATCTCAGCGCACAGCTTCCCAGTGACATGAGAAATCGATTACTAAGCCAGTCACTCTAGTCACCTTATCAACACCAGTCAGTGTAACTCACCTTGTCCACCCCAATCTCGGCGCACAGGATCACAGCGACTAGAGCATGTCAAGTGACTAGAGCAGTGACGCCTCCAGCAAGACAATCAACAATGGCACCTACTAGGTGCTATCCATTATCTCTCAGGTACCACCCCTTACCAGTACCGTCCCTTACCAACCAGGCACTACCCTTCCCTCACCTTGTCCACCCCTATCTCAGCACACAGCTTGACGGTCGGCACGTTGAGCGACTTGAGCAGGGACTCCTCCAGGGTCACGGGGCCGCGGAACTTGCGGTCGTAATTCTCCGGGGCGAACCCGCCCACCTCATATGGCTCGTCCACCAGCACGTAGTCCTTAGTACTGGGGGGTGGGGGGGAGGGAGCGGAGGACGGATGCCATGGGGTATAGCGCCGTGTGAGAGCTGCCTTGCTGGCTGACCTCTCTGTGCCCCCCACGCTCACCCATCTGTGCCCCCCACGCTCGCCCATCTGTGCCCCCCAGGGCACACACATGCCTTACATCCCTCTCCTTCTCACATGTCCTCGGCCAGTGTAGTGAGTGAGGTACACCACGGGCTTGAACGTGCACCTGGAGAAGCCTTAACTCACCCCCGGCACTCCCTTAGAACCCCAGAACCCAAAATCCCAAAGCCCCAGCCGTGGCTTACATGCCCTCGGCCAGCGCAGTGAGGTACACCACGGGCTTGAACGTGGACCCGGGCGGCCTCAGCGCCTGGGTGGCGCGGTTGAAGCAGCTCTCGTAGTAGTCGCGGCCGCCCACCAGCACTCGCACGGCGCCGGATAGCGGATCCATGGCCACCATCGCTCCTTCCAGCCTGTAGTGCAGCAGAGAAACATAGGTGATTTTTTAGTCGACTCAAATCATCTGTAGCGCAGGGAAGCAGATGATGCACGCAGCACAGAGCACCTCTTCACAAGTGCACACGAGCAGAGAAGCAGCCCTCGTAGCCCTTGTAGCAGCCGCGCCCCCCCACCATCACTCACACCACTCCACTCAAGGGATCCATTACTACCATCGCCCCCTCCAGCCTGGAGGGCAGGGGAACATGAGAGAAATGGAAATCTCGTACGCGAGAGAAATGAGGGCGATGGTAGTAATGGATCCCTCCAGCCTACCAGCATGTCTCGTGACAGCACTCGCATGTCTCGTGACAGCACTCGCATGTCTCGTGACAGCACTCGCATGTCTCTTGACAGCACTCGCATGTCTCGTGACAGCACTCGCATGTCTCGTGACAGCACTCGCATGTCTCGTGACAGCACTCGCATGTCTCGTGACAGCACTCGCATGTCTCGTGATAGCACTGCCATGCCGTTGCTCCATTGCTGCCATGGCGCCCTCCAGCCTGCTTGGGCTGGGGTCATAAGGAACAACGGAAGCACACAGGTCTGTGGTAAAAAAAGGACCCGACGAACCGGGCAGCTCCTGCAGTAAGCAGCCACAGCCCCCACCAGCACTCGCACCGCTCCTGATAGCGGGTCCATCGCCCCCATGACGCCCTCCAACCGGTCGATGGGAACAACGGCGCAATGCACGCATGTGAGGCGTACCACCACAGCCCACACTGCTGGGCGGTCCACTGCTGGCCACACGTGCACACAAGTGTGGCTTTCCCACATGAGCTGACTGACAATGTAAGACGAACCGATCTCATGCCCCCACCACCTTCCCCCCTCCCCTACTACCCCTAATGAACCCCCCTTCTCCCCTTCCCTATCCCCACACCTTCCCGCCGCGCTATCCCGCCCCTCCATGTCATTTCTTCCCCCCCCACCCTCCCCCCCCCACCCCCCCACCCCCCACCCCCCATTCCACGCACCTGGCGGACTGGGCGGTCCTGAGCTCATTCTCATAGCGCTGCATGGCTGTAGTCAGCGTGCGCTCCCTGCAGGGAGGGGGGGAAGGCAGGGCAGTGAAGGGAAGGCAGCATGGGGAATGAAACAGGCTCGGATGACCCGAGGGTCCAACTGAGCTCGTTCTCATAGCGCTGCATGGCTGTGATCAGCGTGCTTCAGGCAGGAAGGTGGCATCCAAGCGAGGCATGTACGAGCGACCATGGACTACAGCCCTCCAAGAGGCCTTCACCTGCTCGCCCCCACATGCGCTGGACCACAAACCCGATTCCCCCCACCTGCTCCCACCTCCCCCTTCCACCCCCCTGTAATCTCTTCCACCCTCCTCCCACATCACCGTTGACAGCACCCCACTCTCCACCCCCTCGTGCCGCCGCCGCTCACCGGGCTGCAAGCACACAAGTGCCCCCCAACACCCCCCCCCTTGCGACCACTCACAAGGCTGCAAACCGCTCGAGCGTGCGCGCCACTGCTGCTGTCTCGTCCTCCATCATCTCAGACACGCTGGGGGGGGGGAGGACGGGGGGTGATAAAGGACATGGGTGGATGGGTGGATTGGATTGGGTGAGCAGCAGCAGGGAGCCGAAACAGATGGACATGGTGAGAACTTTTGAGGTGCCTCAAAAACCGAAACAGATGGATACGGTGAGAAAGCTGGTAGTTTTGAAGGGAAGAACAACTTGCATGCGGTGACGGGGGCGAGGAGGGGAAGGGGCGTCATGGAAGAGAACAGGAGACGGAAGCGACGTGGGTTGATGGGGGGAGGGCGTTGAAAGAGAGGGGACTCACGTCTTTTGCGTTTGGCCGTTCTTCTTGCGAAACTCTGCAGACCTGCACATGTGATGCATGGGGCACATGGACGCACATGTGATGCATGGGGCACATGGACGCACATGTGATGCATGGGGCACATGGACGCACATGTGATGCATGGGGCACATGGACGCACATTGGCGGAGCACACACATGGCATGACATGAGATGAAATGGGCGCAACACACACGTGGCGTGAGATGACATGGGCGTAACACACCCCTGGCGTGAGACGAAATGCCACCATGGAACATGGCAGGTACCATGGGGGAGAACACAGCACGAAGCCCTGCCCGGCTACCCCTCCCCTCTTCGTCCCACCCGCTTCTCTCCATTGTTCCCCCCCCCTTTCCTCCCCTCCCCCCCCTCTCATGTACCTCTTGACAGCAGCGGCAGCCACGGTGGAGAGTATCTGCTGCTGCCGCCTGGCCCTGAGCTCCTCCAGCTTCAGTGCGATCGCCGCAATGTCCCTCTGCGCCGCCGCCTCCCTCTCCCTGTCGTACTCCGCGGTGCCGTCGCCCACGACCTTCTCGCCCGCGTCCTGCATGGCGAGGTCCAGCGTCGTGTGCACCTGCAGCCCGCCCCGCAGCACCTCCTCGCGCCCGTACCGCTGCGCCAGCTCGTACAGCACCTGCGAGGGGGGGGGGATGGGGCCGGAGGGATGGGGTGGGGGTGAGGGTGGGGAAGGCCGGGAGGGGGGGAATCAAAGGACGCGCTTGTTTCATGATGCTAGTGAGCGGCTTACAGGTCTGCAACACCTCCTCGCGGCCGAACCGCTGCGCTAGCTCGTACAGCACCTTTGGGGAGAGGGGGAGGGGGAGGGGGGGGGGAGGAGAAGTGGTAAGGGGGAGGCGGTTGCTTGGGGGAACAAGTGCGTTCTTTGAGTAGCTTGAAGGATACAGTCCCTCCACGGCCCGACACACCCCTGCTGCTCTTCTCATCCCAGACACAGCGCCTGCTGCAACCCCCTCGGCCCCCCGTGCCCGTGCTCCTCAGGCCCAACATCTCCCCCCCAACATCTCCCCTTCGTGTCACCCGCCTAGCTAACAAAAAAAGGAGCCCTGCAGGGCCCTGAGCTCCCAAGCTTGGCCTCCGACCCCAGCCCACCCCTCAGAGCCTGCTGCACAGCCCCTGTGCACACTCAACCCACACCCACCCTCTCCTATCCCCTCTACAGTGCACCTCGCTGACGAAGAAGGGCGCCCTCCAGGGCCCGGAGGTGCCGTGCTTGGCCTCGGAGCCCAGGCGCAGCGGCTGCTGCATGGCCTCCGTGGCCGTGGCGATGTCCAGAAAGCCCGCCTCCACCATGCGCCTCAGCGCCCGCGCCTGGGGCTTGCGACCCCTGCGAATGGGGGGAGGACGGGAGTGAGAGCAGCAGAGACGAGGGTTAGGGGCGGCTGCTGTGCATCCTGTGTGGCTGTGGCGATGTCCAAGAACCCCACCTCCACCATGCGCCGCAACGCACGCGCCTGGGGCTTGCGACCCCTGTGGGGCCGAACAGAAGAGGGAAGGGATGGGGATGGGCATGGGGATGGGCATGGGGATGGGCATGGGGATGAGCATGGGGATGAGCATGGGGATGAGCATGGGGATGAGCATGGGGATGGGCATGGGGATGAGCATGGGGATGAGCATGGGGATGGGTACAGGCACGTGGAAGAGGGATGGGGATGTGCACGGGTGGAGGCAGCGGGATGGGGCCGGCAACTGCAACGGGGAAGGTGGTACCTGATACCTGGAGAGTTAAATGATACCTGGAAGGGAGGAGGTACCTGATGCCTGGAGGGGTAGGTCGCACGTAAGGGGTCGGTGGTACCTGAAAGGGGCAGGTCGTACCTGGAGGGGTCGCGGTAGGGCGAGAGCAGCTCGGGCGCGGGGATGATGCCGGCCAGCATGGCGCACTCGCCCAGGGTGAGCAGCGACGGGTGCTTGCCGAAGTAGAGCGCCGCTGCCGCCTCCAGCCCCGCCACGCCGTGGCCCCAGTAGATCTGCACCCATGGGCGGGGGGTGGGGGAGGGGGAGGAGAGGGGGGGGAAACTATTTTTGAGGCGCCTCACAAATAGACTCCTCAAAAATAGACTCCTCACGCCGTGGCCCCAGTAGATCTGCACCCATGGGCGGGGGTGGGGGAGGGGGAGGAGAGGGGGGGGGAAATAGTGAGGCAAGAGACATACGGAGGAGCGAGCGGACTGTGAACCTCTAGCCCCGCCACGCCGTGGCCTCAGTACATCTGCAGAGGGGTGGGGAGGGGCGTGGTGAAGGGCAACGGACCAAAGGCACTGCTGGCAGACAATGAGGGGGGAGGAAGGGAGAATATGGGGAGGGGGGAGAGTGGATAAGGGGAGGGTAGTGAGTGGAAGGGCTCTGCACTAGCCAGTTTAAACCCTCTCGTTTCACGCCTCTTCACAATGAACAACCGTTGTCAAATAAAGAGGCTCTCTTTATTGAGGTGAAGCGGCACACCATGTCCATGTAACGAGTCCCACCTTATTGAGGTAGAGGTGCAGGATGTCCCACTTAGACATGCGGCGCTCTATGATCACGGCCAGGATGATCTCCACAAGCTTGCGCGTCCACCGCCGCTCGTTCGACAGAAACACGTTCTTCACCAGCTGCGGGGGGGGAAGGTGCGGGCAGGGGGAGTGGGGGAAGGGGGGAGGGGAAAGAAACAAGGAGTGAGACAAGGGGATGGCGACGGAGTGAGGGCATTGCTGCTCGTTGGACAGAAGCGCGTTCTTCACCAGCTGGATGGGGTAGAGTCTCTCAACTCTACCAAGCAATCCGCCACCCGACCCCTCCTCCAGCCCTCCCTCACCTGCTGGGTGATCGTACTCCCGCCTCCCGTCCGCGCCAATGACACCACGGCACGTGTCAGGCCCTTGGGGTCGAAGCCCTGGTGTTCGAAGAACCGCCGATCCTCCGTCGCGATGACGGCTTGCCACATCACGGCCGGCACCTCCGTCGGCTTTAACGGCGCCTGCCCCTTGCTCGCGTCCTTCCGCCGCCCGCCGAACCCGCCGGGAACCACGGTGGCGATGAGGTCACCGTGGCAGTCGTAGATTGCGGTGGCTCGGCGCGCTTCGACGGCGGCCTTGGGGTCGAAGTGCGGCTGCTCCGCGAAGAGCTTCTTCCAGCGCGAGAGGAAGTCCGGGGGCAGCGCGGACAGCAGCATGCGGAGAAACGCCGCCGCGCCGCCGAACACCAGCGCGAGCGCAACGGACTGGATCGATACGCGCAGAAACTTATTGTCGCTTGAGCCGCCTTCGCCGCCGCTTGTCGCGCCGCCAGATGCGGCTCTAGCGGGAGTGGACTGGGCTATCGTTAAAGGTGCTTCCGGCGGGCGGCATGGCGTGGCAGTATGTGCTGCTACAGTGGCCTGAGGAGGAAGGACGTGGAATTCGGATGTAGCTGGGTCCTGGACCAACATAAGTGGACCGTACTTAGGCTGCGTGTGGCCGTTAGTCGGCTCTGATTGGATGAAGGCTAACTGAGCTAGCGCGGCCGTCATCGTAACGGCGGACGGTCGAGATTTGGAACGAAATGACGCGGAGGAAGGTGACTCAAACGAGGGTTGGGTGTGCTTCTGCAGGGAGTGGAGGATCTGAGGCAGGCGAAAGGAGCGCAGCAGCGCTGCCTCCACGTGGCGAGCTGACGACGCGCGATCGCTGCTCGTCTCATGCTGTCTCGGCGGCTCTTTAGCGTGACTAGCACACCAGCCAGGTGTTGCCACCTGGCGGATCGCAGCTGCTGGTTGCATCGTGCCTACCAGTGGTCGTCGGCTAAGTATTGCCGAATCTTACGCACTTCCTACGCTATCTATCCCAGCCTGCTCAAGTGTCTCAGTTTCATTGCCTTTCCGTCACCGCAACGCGAAGGCATGCATTCGAGTGTGCCACGTGTTAGGAACTCCTAAATTTCGCAGATTTAGGTCAAGCAACGCGGCTCGTACAATCCACATTCTAAAGGCTAATGAGCAGAACACCACTCGCCACGTCCTATGGCGGAGAGATAGAGCTGTTGGTGGAGAATACTGTAGGGAGAGATGAATCCTAGGAAGCCAAATCCTACCAGCACGGGTGCAGAACTCGGACCTGGACCAGTGGAAGCGGGGAGAGCGGAGAGAAGGGATGCCGAGAAACGGGAAGCTCGCGGGCTCTGGGACTTGTTTGCGAGAGGCCCTACAGGCCTTGGGTTTGCCGCGCAAAGCAAGCAGACTGGCTTGGGTTGGGAGCGAGCTTTTGGCGGGAAAGGGTGGCTCGCGCGCGCGTCGGCTTCGTCAGATTACTCGTATTTTCCCGATAAAAGCCTGAAAGGAGCTACGGCGTTGAACTTGAACATCATGCTTGCCTCCATAGAAGAACTTTCCAGTCCCTAAATTTCCAAGGGTTACATGCCGTGAAACCAACACAATTTAGCATACAATGCTTTTTCACTTATGCAGTTGTCGTACTTGAAGTGAGAGCCCATTGCCTACTAAGCCCGAACTCTTCGGCTTCAAAATTTGCATTCAAAAGTGAAATTTACTTCAGAAAGATTCAATATATCATACACAGACAAATTACAGCTGCAATACACCTGTAACTTAACCATAGCACCTGATGGGATCGGTGCAGCCCTTGGCAGCTGATTGCCCCATGCCAAACCTCCCACCCTTGGAAAGATACTGTTGATGGTAGCTCTCTGCAGGGTACCACTTCTTGGCAGGCAGAATCTCAGTCACAATCTTCTGGCCAATCAGAGCCTCCCTGGCCTCCAGAGATTTCCTGGCAATCTCCTCTTGCTCTGGGGAGAAGACATAGATGCCCGAGCGGTACTGTGTGCCGACATCGCCGCCCTGGCGGTTGAGGGTGGTCGGGTTGTGCCTGTTCCAAAACACGTCCAGCAGGCCCTCGAAGGACACCTCAGTGGGATCGTACACTACTCTCACGGCCTCCACGTGGCCCGTGCGCCCAGAGCACACCTGGCAGTGACAAAGAAGAGAGAGGGGGTCATGGAATTCACAGACTTAGTGTCCCGTTACCTCCTGTGTGCACTCAAGCGTGAATCAAAAGTTCCTGTTGGTTCTGTTCGGGTGGGAAACTGTATGTTTCAGAGTTCTTAACGGTCAATCCCGAACGCAACCACAAGCTTACCTGCTCGTACGTCGGCTTGTCAATGGCGCCTTGCGTGTATCCCACCTCAGTCCTGCAAGCGCAGCGAAGAAACAGGGCAAACAGTGACGTGATTCGTTAGTAATTCGAAATTCGCGGTTGCATGCACAAGCACGCGTGTACATCACCTAACAGCACGAGACGCGAAACCACTCACTTGACGACACCGGGGACCCGCTGGAAGGCGAGCTCCACGCCCCAGAAGCACCCCGCGCCGAACTCGGCGAACTGCAGCCCCGCGCCGGGGTTGTCCGTGTCGGGCTCCGCTGCCACGCCTGCCGCCGCCATCGGCGCTGTCGGCTTGCCCCACCCGGCGAAGGAGAAGAGCGATTCCGTGGTGACCGGCTGCGGGAGGCCGTCAGGGAATCAACACCAGCAATTGAAAGAGGTTGAATTTTATAAAAGATTCCAAGAAACGAATCTACTCATTCAAATAGTTGAGAAGAGATCAGGATTCACCTCCTGCAGAATCAGCTCAGACCGCGCGATCGGCAACGTTGCAAGGAGAGAGATCACGAGGAGGACAGGGAGAGCAAGACGAACCCTGGAGGACGGGACGGAAGCTACTGGCACGACAGCAGCTGCGAGCAGACCCTTATGACCGCCGAGGAAACTGGCCGAGCCGAGACGACGAGCAGCGGTGCTACGAGCGTTGGTGATGAGAGAGGTGGCGAAGGACGCGCAGGTTTCGACGGAGGCGACAGGAAGCGTCAACATCGCGGCGGGTACGGGGCAGAAACTCGAGTACGGTGAGCTGAGGTGCAAGTGAGATGCTAGGAAAGAGTGTGGGAGGAAATTGAAGCTTGAGGAAATGGTTGTGTGCCGTGGGTGGACTGACTCTGGTGCTCTACTGGGCTGTGTCGGTGTGCATGGAAGCAGGCGAGAGACATGCTGGACAAATTCATGATTGAGATTGTCATGGTTGTGACGTGGGGGTTTCGAGATTTACACGTGGTTACCCTCACGGCATTCCACGTGCTTCACCACCTCCACGTCGTCCATCATTGCAATTCCTCGTTTTACGATCACTCAATACATTTCATAGTTGCTCGAGAGATTGTCAATTACAAAAGCTGGAACAATATTGTCCCAAGCCTCTTGTCAGACTCCTGGCCGCGCCTTGTGCGTTTCCCCAGTTCCCTGATTGGTTCCGCTCGTGTTTCCAGGCTCGGAGGCCTGTCAAGTAACGCGGGAATTGACAGGTCATCACACGTGTCTGGAAGTTCACTTTCTGGCAGCTCGGTCAGATCTGCTTGCTCAAGGGCCCTCATTCGTCCTGTGCCCCAAGGTGGTCCCTCATTTGCAGCTCGAGACCCATCAGATCGTCATCCATCCGAACATAAATTCCAGACCTAGCGTCGCATGACCTGAGAACCGCAAGATCTCAACGCCGATTTATCAAGGGCACATGCTCGCGCCGTCGCTTACCATCATGCATTTCCCGCCAATTTCAGCAGCGACAGGCTCGGATTTTCAAACACTTGTTGCAGGCTGCCATGCGATGTGATGCCATGCGACTGACGGGACTCATGCGACCATCGTCGTCCATCGCCTCCATCCGCCCTCATCACATCACATTCAATACGACCCATCTGTGGCGTGGGCTTGCTCTACCAGGAGCTATTTCACCAGTCGGCAAAAAGCTAGGTATCAAACTAGGCTCAGTAGTCACTTGAGAGATCTCACGGCCGTAGATTATCGACTACCTGCGTGGCTGGCAGGGGCTAGCTGCGGCATTGTTTTGTTGTTTATTTCCAGGACAGTAGCGTACTTATTGTCTCAGAAAATTTCATCGTCATGTCTACTTCATACCAAGTATCCTCGCCTAGGCATGACGCTCCGCCGATCACGCTCCGCGCGTGCAGGCGGACCGAGGGCGTAGCGGAGCCCGCGATCGACGTCTGCTTGCGCTACCCGCACGAGCAGGCGCGGTCGAGCTTCGTGATTGGTCGGAGCGGCGAGATCACAGTGATGTGTCGCGTGAAGCAGGTGCGGTGGAAACCGCTCCTCGTGCTCCAATGGCCGCCCAACTCCTCGAGCCTCGAGCGGCTCGTCGAGCCGGCAGTCAGCGCGACGAGTAGACTAGCGAGTAGGCTTAGGAACATGTCGATAGGAGACCAGTCGAGCTTCGAGAGCGTGGAGTCGCGACTCAGGGAGCACCGGCTGGTGGCAGAGGCGGCCAACTTCGTGCATCAACGACTGACGGCGCTCGAAGTGCAGACGAAGCTCGCGTCGTCGCTGAAGGTGAGAGCTCAGCCGTGAAGCCCGGCCTTACCAATGTGAGATCCGTGTTTTTTACCATCCTACCGAAGTCATAGCCTCGTGCCGTCTCTTGCGGCGTGACCAGTTTGTCACCTGTTCTTCTAGTCAGCCCGTTTCTCATTCCATTGCCCTTGCTTTGTTGCGCATTCTCCACCGCAGGATCCTCACGCAGCATTATCTGCAGCAGCGGCGCAGCTTATAACGAGAACACGAGGCGAGCCCCTGCGCCAGCGTAAGTTCTCCCGCCCGTCTCTGCCTCTCCAACCCCCTCCCTTCCTGCCACTCTTTCGCTGCCACATGTCACTACATCTCCTCTCACCATCCCACGCACTTTAACGCGCGATCATCCCTTCATTCCCTTCTTCGTCACCCCGCAGTGGCAGCAGCGCACGGGCGACTAAGTCGAGGGGTGGCGACCCTCACGAGTCGCATCGTGTCGCACGCGCTCGCCGGGCTGGACAGGGACGTCAGCAGGGAGCAGTTCGCGGCGCTGCTGCCACCTGTAAGCCGCGCTCTGCTGCCCTCATGGGCATTCACTTGCATCATGACAGCCAATTCCTTGCCGCCCGTGCTCCCAAGCCCTACTAATTTTGCGACAAAACCCTCGTCCGTTCTCGACTCTCATCTTTACTTTTCCTCGCGTCCTCCCCAATCCCTGTCGTGCGCTGATCCATGGCCAGTTCGTGTACGCGGAAGGGCAGATCCTCGCCGTGCCTGGATTCGCGCCGCAACGCGCGGCGGCCGCCGCGTCAGCGGCGCTGAACTCCTTGGCGACGGCGGCCGCCGACCCCGCGTCGCTGCGCCTCGGCTTCACGAGCGACCCGCTCGCCTCGGCCGCCGCCGCTGCATCCGCCTCCGAGTTCCCCGCCGCATTCGGCGGGCTGGCGGCGCAGCGTAGCCGGATCGCGGCGACGGTGGGGTCGTTCGGGCTGCCCGTGACCGGCGGGTGGCTGTCGTCGCGGTACGGGTGGCGGGAAGCGCGGAAGAAGTTCCACAAGGGGATCGACATAGCCGTTGAGGAGAATACCCCCGTGGTCGCCGCGCAGGCGGGAAGAATCTCGTTCGCGGGGTGGCGGAAGGGGTACGGGTACGTCGTTGTGGTGGATCACGGCAAGGGGTACGCCTCGTTATACGCGCACTGCAACCGGTTTGTAGCGCGGAAGGGGCAGGCGGTGGGCAAGGGGCAGGCGATCGCGCTGTCGGGCAACACGGGGCACTCCACCGGGCCGCACCTCCACTTCGAAATCCACCGCCACGGCTCGCCCGTCGACCCGCTGCTGCTGCTGCCCAGTGACGTGAAGGGCGAGGCGAGATAGCAGGGAGTGGGGTGCGGTGAGCTGGGGGAGGGCGGCCGGGTGAGGTGGTGGGGGAACGATGGTGATTGACAAGCAGGGGAGCCCTGTGGACGGGGCGGTTGACATGCCCTGTGGACTGGCGTGGGCGGGGGGGAGGAGGGAAAGGAGGGGAGGAGGGAGAGCAAGTGGGGAGGAATGACGACGATGGCGAGGACGGGGAGAACACGAGGAAGGGCACGGATGGGGAGTGCTTGGTGGAGAGGGGGGTGACTGTAAAGGGGGAGAGCGGGGGATTGCGGGGGGTTTAGGGCAGGGAGAGAGCGGGGTGAAATGAAGTGGAGAAGTGTTGGATGGTGGACGGCTGGGTGCGCAGGAGTAGAAGCTGATGCTGACGACAGCATGAAGATGGTGCCAAGCGCTCGGCGTGGAAGCTGTTCCCTAGGGTTTTCCCATTTTTGCGTGCGGCACTGGCAGGCCCAGGAGTGCGACAACGGTGCTAGGCGCCGCGCATGCCCTGTCTTCTCTTCTGTATATTCATTATCAAAGATTGATGAGAGCTCGATGAACACTTGTGCCATTTGTGGCCATTTGTGCACACTTGCAGAATGCAGCATCAATGCAATGTACAGTTTGCATGTGGGCTGTAACACTGACCTAATACCCGTCTCAGCACCCTTCTGCTAGAATGTACTCTACTGGCCTCCGCCGAGTGGTATCTGAAAAAGAGGCCGAAGGGAAGGCAGTAAAGGCCCAATCAGGGTTGACGTTTCAAAAAAAGGCACTCTGATTTTGCCCCCCACAAAAAATCCCGAGTCTGAAGTGTTCAAATTATATAAGTTATAATTTAATATAGGCTTGGTAGGTTGTTACTGAACCTTTCTGTAGGGGGTACAAACCCCTCCTTGTACTCCCCTCTCTTCTAATCCACCTCTCTTTTCTCTCCTCAACTTTCCTAGCACCTAAAACCTCTCGCCATTCTCATGGCTCCTCCTAGCTCCTAGCTAAACCTTGTGCCATTCTATGGCTTCCTAGCTAAGCTAGTCTTTTGACATGGTATTAGAGCAGTTCGTTCCGTGTGGGCCTGCTCCTCGCGTTTCCGCTGCGTGCTCGTTTCTCTCTCTATCTCGCGCTGCCATGGCGGCCGCGTCAAGCTGCTGTGGCCGCGTCGTCGTGCCGCGGCGCCGCCGTCGACGTCCATGGCGCCCGCGTCCAGCTGCTGTGGCCGCGCCGTCGTGCCGCAGCTCCGCCGTCGCGTCAAGATGCTGTCGCGACGTGACGGCGCCGTCACGCTGCCGCGGCGTCTACGCGACAGCGCGCGGTCGGCGTAACGGCGACGTCGTGCTGCCGTCGCAACGTCGACGCCCCGCTGCGGCATCGACGCCGCTCCATGATGGCGTCGTCGGGCTGCAGCCGGCCGCGTGACGCTTGTGGCGCCGCTAGACCGGCCGCCCGCATGTCAGCCTGTGGCGCCCCCCCCCCCCCCACCCCCCTCCTTCCCCTGTGCCCTCTTCCATTCCGCAGACGACGGCTGACTCCCGCCGGCCGTCCCACCGTCGCGGGGCCTGGCCACGTCACCGAGAGGTGCGGGTGCCGCCGCCGCTGCCGCTGTTGTCGAAGCCGCCGCCGCCGCCGCTGTCGCCGCTTGCGTCGGGGCCACGCAGCCGCACGCCGCCGCCGCCGCCGCTGTCGACACTGCCGCCGCTGCTGCCGTCGCCGCCGCAGCCCCTGCGGTCGACGTCGCCGCCTCACGCACCGTGGGTCGACCGACCTAGAGTCGCTGTCACTGTGGCTGGAATGGGGGTGCTAGGTTAGGGGGTGTGGGTGTGTGTGGGCATGTGACTACCAAGCCTAGGGGGTGTGTTCAAATTATATAAGTTATAATTTAATATAGGCTTGGTAGGTTGTTACTGAACCTTTCTGTAGGGGGTACAAACCCCTCCTTGTACTCCCCTCTCTTCTAATCCACCTCTCTTTTCTCTCCTCAACTTTCCTAGCACCTAAAACCTCTCGCCATTCTCATGGCTCCTCCTAGCTCCTAGCTAAACCTTGTGCCATTCTATGGCTTCCTAGCTAAGCTAGTCTTTTGACATGAAGTGCCATTTTTCGAAATTTCGCTACTTTGAAATCTCAGTGTCCAAAAGTCAACGAGTCTGAAATACTCAGGGTTCAGAATGTCGACTCAGAGTCCTGCGCCCAAGTCGAAATCTTATATTTCCAGTGTTCACACCAGGCCCCACGACTGGTTTTAGGGTACCATGATTCATCAGCTTTTCGTCAAGAAAATTTACGTGGATTCATCAGAGTTTCCTAGCAAAAAATTGCCTTTTCATTAGGGCGTGTTAAAATAAAAACTAGGAGAGAGGATTTCAGTTTTTTTTTTAAGTTTCATTCGACTAAGAGTAAATTCCGCATTTTAATAACAGTCGTTTCTATTAGGCGAAATTCTCGACAGCTGCCCGTTATCAGAAATGAGAATTGAATAGATTGTAAAGTGAGAGTACACACAAGTATACGTAAGTATTGTACCCTCTAAGAGGTAACCCTATACAGTCTATACAAACATGACAAATGCAGATGTTTGACACACCCCCTAGACTGCATAGGGGAATACCCTAAACAAGCAGCTCAGGGCGGCACTACTAGTCCAACCTCTGAGACAAGGGTCTGAGAGACCAGTCAGAAGGAGTACAGACAAGGCAAGAACAAGAACAGGGCGGCACTACTAGTCCAGCCACTGGGAGAGGACACAAGTCCAGTCTGAGTATACATATAAAGGACAGTACAAGTCAAGGTCCTAGCAAGTGAGAAGCGACAGGAACTAGACCAAGCTGTACACAGTGCCGCTGATGATCTTTAGGCGCAAGCGCCTTCGTAAAGATATCAGCTGTGTTGGCACCTGAGGCCAAGTGTACTACGCGAGCCTGACGTCGCTGCTGTAGCTCACGCAGGAGGAAGTACCGCAGCTGAATGTGCTTCGCTCTGCCCTCGAGTCGAGGCTCCTGACACAGGAGGATCATGGCCCGGTTGTCAGCGAACAGGACCGGGGCAGAGCTAGGCCGCTCACCTAAGTCAGTGAGCAAGAAGGTCAGCCAGCGGAGCTCCTGTGCCGCCATGGCACCAGCGTAGATCTCAGCCTCACAGCTGGACTATGCAACAGACGAGGAGCGAGTAGCTCTCCACGAGACGGCACCTGAGCCAAGGCTGAAGCAGTAGCCCTGGGTAGACTTGAGTGTCTCAGCGTCGTCTGCCCACGAAGCGTCTGTGTGTCCAGTGAGGACCACTGGCCTGCGTCCTCCAAGCACTAACCCCATGCCCGATGTACTAGCAAGATAACGCAGAACCCTCTTAGCGGCAGACCAGTGCTGCGGTCGGTGTCTGCCTGTGGCCACAAAGCGCGCCAGGATGCTGAGAGGGTATGCGAGATCTGGGCGAGTGCAAGTCATCAGGTACATGAGGCAACCCACGAGCTCTGCGTAGGGGCCACTGGGCTCTACTGACTCCTCAGGTACTGGAGCGGAGAGTCTGTGGTCTACAGGAAGACGGGTGGGCTGTGCAGAGGAGAACTGAAGGCTGAACCTCTGAAGGACCTGGCGCACGAAGTGTGACTGAGTCAGGGTGATGGTGCGCGCAGCTCTGTCCCTGGAGATCTGCAAGCCAAGGTAACGGCGCAGTTCTCCAAGGTCAGTGCAGGTGTGTTTCTTCAGCAGCTCTGCCTTCACAGAGGCCAGTGCGTCCCTGTCTGCCGTGGCAAAGACCAGGTCGTCGACATAAACAAGGACGTAGAACGGAGTCTGGCCAGCACGAACGAAGAGTGAAGGGTCTGCGGAAGACGGAAAGAACTGCAGGTCAGTAAGGGTAGCACGAAGAGTGTCGTGCCACTCACGGGGAGCCTGGCGCAGGCCGTAGACGGGGCGCCGCAGGAGCCACTGGGTCCCAGGAGGGAAGGTGCCAGTAAAGCCCGGAGGGCGACGCAGGTAGACCTGCTCGTGTAGGCTGCCCTGAAGGAAGGCAGTGGAGAAGTCGAGGGAGTGAAGCTCGTAGTCACGCTGAGCAGCTACGTGTAACAGAACCCGAAGAGTAGTCATCTTCGGGGTCGGAGCGAAAGTCTGGAAGAAGTCCACGCCCTCGCGCTGACTGAAGCCTCTAGCAACATTGCGCGCCTTGAAGACAGGCGGCTCTCCAGGAGGGCGCTTCACCTTGAAGAGCCAGCGGCCATCGACTACGTTCACCCCAGGTGGGGGAACTGCGTCGACGAAGGTGCCGGTGGATCTCCAAGATGCCATCTCCTGCTCCATGGCAGCTATCCACTGTGAGGCCCAGGGTCCCGAAGTCGCCTCAGCGTAAGTGCGAGGGGTCGGGATGTCGAAAGCGTCTGGGTCACCCTCAGGGACTAGCAGCATGGAACAGAGATGGGGAGCAGCCTCAGACAGGAAAGCAAGCTCGAACTGGCGGTCCTCCAGGACGTCACTGCCAAGGGCAGGAGCACACCCGACAGACGGAGGACAGGCAGGGTTAGAGACCAGAGCTGTGGCGTAGTCAAGGCGGCGGGTAGAGGCGAAGTCAGCGACAGCAGCGACAAGAGCGTCAAGGCACGAGACCGGAACAGACGGGTCGGTAACGAGAGAGGCAAGGACCCGAGGAACAAGAGGACGAGCGGCACGAAGGTAGTCGGACAGCGGGGGGGGCGCAACAACAAGGGAGGACGGAGGAGGCGACGGGAGAAGGGGAGGACGAGACGCGTGCGAACGAAGCAACATAGGGTGGGAGCGCAAGACAGGCGAGGCAGGACGAGCACGGGAGGGGCGGTGAGACCAGACGTGCGACGGAGGAGTCGGGTCAGGAGACAGGGGAGGGGACACAGGAGGGGAACGAGGGGGGAGACGAGCCGGGGACGAGTCCGGCGGAGGGAAAACAGGGCCGTAGACAGGAAGAGGAGGAGACGGTCGGGGAGGAACCGACGCAGGGTCGGGGGACGGCAGGCCGAGCAGGCGAAGGGCTGACACCGGCGGGGACTGCTGCTGCGGCGGCACAACGGCGACACCGGGACCGCTAGCTGCTCCTCGGCTACCCCCGACACTCTCCACACCAGCACCCCCAGAGGGACCACCCCCAGGGCGACCGGGACGAGCACCCCCAGAGTCGACGAACGGGAGCTGCGACGGCGGCGGCGGCGGCGGCGGAGGCGACGGCGGCGGCGGCTGCAGCAGCGGTAGGGGCGGTGGAGGAGGGGACTGGGGAGGGGACACCTGGGGAGGGGCGGCCGGCGAGGACTGCACAGGAGGGCCACCAGAGGCAGAAGACTCCTCAACCGGGTCCACGGACGGAAGGGGGGTGGCGTGGGACACACCAGAGGGGGTCTGGACGGGGAGGAGGAGGAGGAGGGGCAGGGACTACCGGGGAAGGGGTGACCAGGAACAGAGGGGGGGTAACCGGGGGACCACGGTGGGGAAAGCGGCGGTAGTAGGAGGCGGACTCGTCAAAGGTGACGTCACGAGAGTGAAAGAAGCGGTGAGACGGCGGGTGGTAAAAGTGCCAGTCGGACGCGTCAAGGGGAAAACCGAGGAAGACGCAGGGAAGGGTGCGGGCAGTGAGCTTGTCCGTGCCGGAGGCACGGACGTGAGCAAGGCAGCCCCAGACGTGGAACGCAGACGCGTCACCAGGGGACCCAGTCCAAAGACGGGTCGGCGAAACCTGCGGCTGATGAGGGTGCGGCCACAGGTTAAGCTGGTGGGAAGCGTAGCGCACAGCGAACGGCCACAGAAAATGGGGTGCACCGGCATGGATCATGGAGGTGCGAGTGACCTCCATGACCAAACCGATGCGTCGCTCAGCGACCCCATTCTGCTGTGGGGAGTCCGGTAGGGTGAACGTCTGGGTGATGCCCTCCGCACGACAAAAGCGACCAAGGACACCGGAGGCAAACTCGCCACCACGGTCTGAGTGAAGACGCAAGGCAGGGAGACCGTGGTGGACACGCGCAGAGACAAGCCAGGGGATGAGAGCGCCAGGCACGTCGGCCTTGCGCTCCAGGGGAAAGACGGTGGTGTAACGAGTGAAGTCGTCGACAAGCACAAGGAAGTAGCGCTCTCGACGCGGCCCAGGGACGGGGGCGGGGCCCCAGACGTCCAGGTGCAGGGTCTGCAGCGGCGCGGCGGTAGGGGGAAACGAGGAGGAGTGAGGGGCACGGCGAAGCCGACCCTCGACACAAGGCGTGCAAGGTGGGGCTGGAGAGGAGGGAAACGCGGGGAGCGAACCTGGGAGACCAAGGACGAGACCGTGCTGAGACATGTGACGCAGACGCGGGAGCGCAGGGTGACCTAGGCGGTGGTGCCACAGGAGGGTCGGGTGAGTGAGGGAGCGACAGGAGCAGGCAGCAGCAACCTGGGTAGACGCAGCCACCTGAGGGGGGGTCACGGTGTCCAGAGTGAACAGGCCGGACACCGGGTCCCAGGGGAACGTGGACAGGGGGGCACCAGTGGCGGCCTCGGTACAGACAGCATACCGCTCGTGACCAGGGAACGTAGTGGTGACGCCAAGGTCCTGGAGGCAGCCGACACCAACTAGGTTCCTGGAGAACGAGGGGATATGCAGACCTGTAAGAGAACCCGAAGGAACCGCCGGACAGGGAAGGGTGGTGGAACTGCGGGCGACTACCGGACCGCCGGATGGGTGAGCAAGAGAAACGGCAGCAGGAACAGGAAGCGGCGTCAGGGTGGTGGAGTCGCGGAAGAAACACCGAGAGGCGCCAGAGTCCAAAGTGAAGGAAAGCGAAGCCGAGGGGTCTGGCGACGGAACGACGACGGAAGCACCAAGACTACACAAAGCAGGGGATCCTACGCCTGACGCAGCAGGGGAGGCTAAGCTAGGCACACATACACTAGGCAACAGTGAGTAATAAGCGGGAAGCACACTAGAGTCATCAGCATACATCACATGCAGAGCAGAAACAATGGCATCCATGTCCATATCAAAAATCTGAATCTGACGACTAAGCAAACTGTGCCAGTCCGGGAGGTCTGGCGACGGGCCGAAGCGCTGACGAAAGAGGTCGTCCAGGCGACGAAAACAGCGGGGAGTGGAGTGACCGAGCTTACCGCAAACGAAGCCGCGGCGAGGACCGGTCTGGATCTGGTACTGGCAACGCCCGCCGCCAGAGCCACCACGCGGCACACCACCACGCGCCCGGCCACCGCCAGCGCCGGGCCACCCTGGCGGGAGGACACTCGTCTGCCGCGTCTGCGACGGCTGCTGCGAAGGCTGCGACTGCGGCGGCTGCTGCGGCTGCTGCACCTGCAG